GTCGTACACGAACGAATTTATATTCATTGGATTCGTCTCACTGAGACGCGTCAAATGGTGCTAAGATCATGTCTCTAGCACCGATAGATAGCTTGCTAATTCCAATTATTTATAAATCATTTAGCGTGGGTTAATGTGTGATCTATCGATGCTAGAGACATGATCTTACCACCATTCGACGCGTCTCGTCGAGACGAATCCAATGATATATGGCTCGACTTTGTATGATTACTAGATGGCCGGCTATTCGATTTTTCGCATTTTTATAAAAAATCGGATTAAACTGAACCGAACCGCTGGTTTTTTGGTTCTAATACCCGAACCAAACTGAACCGAATTTTGAGCCGGTTTCGGATTGGTTCCCCGGTTTAGCCCGAACCGTTCGGAGCTTTAGTCAGAATTATACTTAAAACTTTATTGTATTGTAACTCTGCCAATATTAATTGTAGAGAGATGATTTTACTGCCATTTGATTCGTCTTGATGAAACGGTTCTAATGGTATAAAATATAACGAAATCCAATCACCAAATCAATTTCTAAAATTAAAAAATATTAAATAGTTTTTAAGTAATAACTTCGTTAATATTGATGATCACAGAGAGATGAGTTTATCACCATTCAATTCACCTTGATGAGGCGATTCCAACGAGCTATTAATTGTCTTTTTAAAATCACTAGGTACTGAGAAATTTAGTAAAATGTTAAATGGCACAGTAAACATAAATTAAGAAATATTATAATGCTGATGTTAAACATTTTGTTAAATAACTCATCAGCCAGAGATCATAAAGGATAAAACTACCACCATTCGATTTATCTCAATGAGACAATTCTAACAAGCTATGGTACATCTTTGTACGATTATTAGATGTCAAGTTATTTAATATATCTTTATATAACTGTGATTATAAACGGTTCTTTTTAATATAAGATTTTTGAAGATAGGTGTGATAGTAACTATAAATAGATTGTGATTATATAGGATAGATTTTAATAATAAAGTGTTTTGAACATTCAACTGGTATGATTATATAGTAGAATGTAATTATAACGGAAGTGACTATGGAGGGAATTGACTGTATTTAATAGTATGAATTTTTTTAAATATTTAAAATATTTGACAGGTTTATCTATAAAAATAAAAATAAAAGAGATGAAAATAAAAATAAAAGAGATGAAAATAAAAATAAAAGAGATGAAAATAAAAATAAAAGAGATGAAAATAAAAATAAAAGAAAAAATAAAAATAAAAAAGATGAAAATAAAAATGAAAGAAAAACAAAAATAAAAATAAATAAAAATAAAAAGAAAAATAGAATAAAGTAAAAGAAAAAAAAGGTAAAAATAAATGTAAGCAAACTGATAAATTATAAAAAAAAAATGAAATAAAGTTAGTAAAAATAAAATAAAAATAAAAAAGAAAAAGAGATAATAGATATTAATATAATCATGCTAAGGCACAGAATAACAAAGAAAATATTCTTTATTTATTTTTTCAATATTCATAATACAAAATAATTGTTATATTAAAGAGTTCTGAAACTGTATATGTACATTTTATATACTTATTTGTGCTTTGTAATATATTTTATATAATATATGTGAAAAAATTAGAAAAATGAAAAAAATATACCTTTGATTATAAAACTAAAAGATTCTAAAAATCTAAAAGAAAATGATAAAAAAATTAGAGACAAAAAAGAAATGAAAATATAAAAGAAGAAAAAAATGAAAAAATGAAATACCTGATATTTGCATATTTGACAAGACTTCACCTACTACTAAGATATACCACTGGTAGAAATTTCACTATCATATGAAACCTTACCTTAAAATTTGCTTAAATTTTTTGGTTAATTAACTAAAAAGGAAAAAAATCATAACAATATCTGATATGATATAAAATTTTCTTTTATAGTAAGATTTTCAAAGTGTAAACTTTACTTTAGACTATAGGGTAATTTATCTTAATAGTAGGTGGAGTTTTCCTCTAACATAAATCTTTGACCTTGAAACTGGAAGTTTTTAAAAACCTAAAAGAAAATAAAAAACAAAAAATATAAAGAAAAAAAAATAACAAAATGAAATACCTAATATTTGCATACTTTTGAGTTTTGACATGAAATGAAACTAAAAAACCAAAGAAAAGAAAAAAACACCAGACGCATAAACAAATAACTGATTGATTGATATGATATAATTGTCAGTTTAAATTTTCTCTTATTATATTAATAATATTAACTAGATTATTAATAATATAGAATAAAAAGTTAAGTAATAAATAAAAAAATGTATAAATCATATAACTATGGTATTGAATACCATAATGTAAAATATATTATAAAAGATTGTAAATAATTTATTTTAAAAAAAATTATATTTGTACAATTAGTACAATTATAATAAAACTTTGAAAAAGTCCTTATATAGATAAGATACATCTAAGAAAATTTATTATTAGTTTTAAACATTTCTTTTAAGATAATTTCAGGAAATTAAACAATTACAAATCACATGACATGTACATTGCGTCAAAATAGAGCAGGGAATGACTTTGTTAATGAAGAGTAGTGGTCGTTGTGTTCTATGGTAGCCGGATTCATTTTGCCGGGTTACATATATTATTATGGATTTATGGATGTGACAATTAATGGGCGCCGATTAGAGTTTTTACATATAAAAATTCAAATAAATTACCTAATCTTAATCCTAATCCCTTACTAACTTGTCCTAACCCTAATTCTAAAGAACCGGCGCTAGGTTCGTCATTGCTTACTTATAACCGGTGTTACGAGAAAAAACTAATGTTTGATCCGAATTTTTTATTACTACATACACACCAATTACCAATTACCTATAAAGGAAAAAATCGGATAATCTGAATGTATCACAAATATGTATTATAGATTATCAAAAAATTTTTTCATTTGTTAACGCGTCAAGTTTTAATAATAATTTTTAAACTAGTAATGGCTTCAAGTAGAAGTTCTCGTTTACTAACCTTGGTGACTTATAATCAAAATACTTTACTGTCAAAATATGCAAGAAGAAATGCACTTTTGGTTTGCAACTATTGAACATTTCTGTCATTTACGTTATACGATAAGTTTAATCGGGATTATACCTTTTTTTTGTTTAGTCAACATCACGATTTATCAATTTGAATCAAAAAGCTTATAATTCATATTTAAACTCTCCCGAAGAGTTTGCAGCATTTTCTTCACCGCCGGCCGAATTTCGTAATCGCGCAAGGTTGCCGAGAAATACGGTCTGTAAATTATATCGTAATTTTATAAAATTTATAGGTTTAATCGTTAATCAAGGACTTTGTTATTAGATTATAAATTTCGTTCCGCAACAAGAAGCCTGGATTGTAGAACGATTTGGAAAGGTTTTTTTTCATACTGACACTTTATTCTGACTCGATTAGCACGTTCAATTTAAATTTTATCATCTTTCCTTTTAGTTTGACCGACTTCTACAACCTGGTTTATCAGTTGTGATTCCGTTTTTAGAGCGAATTAAATATGTTAAAAGTCTTAAAGAAATTTGTTTAAACATTCCAGCTCAAAGTGCAATTACACAAGGCCAGAATTTATGCTTTTCTTAATTTGATTCTTGTAAATAAAGTTAATAATAGAATTTCTAATTTAAAAAATGGTTTGCCTAAAATTTTTGCAGATAACGTCACTTTAGTTTTGGATGGCGTATTGTATATTAAAGTAGTTGACCCATATAAGGTAATTGTTTAATTTTCTATGAAAAGAAAAAAAAATATTTTTTTTTATTTACTTTTTAATTTACGATAGGCCTCTTATGGCGTCGAAGATGCCGAATATGCTGTTGCGCAATTAGCTCAAACAACAATGCGTGCTGAAATTGGTCAAATGACATTAGATAGAACCTTAGCGGAGCGTGCACATTTGAATGCCAACATTGTTGACGCAATTAACAGTGCTGCTGATGCGTGGGGAATTCGATGTTTAAGATATGAAATTCGTGAGTCTTATTAATATTTTCATTATCTGTTGTATTATAATTGTTTGACCTTTTTTTTTTTTTTTTTGATAAGGTGATATTCATCCACCAACTAAGGTTGTTGAATCTATGCATCAACAAGTATCTGCTGAACGATCCAAAAGAGCATCTATTCTTGAGTCAGAAGGTTTCATGATTATTACATACTAGTTAAATTTGTATACTATATTATGATATTTTAACTTCAATTTCTTATTTATTTCAGGTCAAAGACAAGCTGCAATAAACGTTGCTGAGGGAAACAAACAATCTGTTATTTTAGCATCAGAGGCTGAAAAATCCGAACAAATTAACAAAGCATCAGGTAGATTGTCACAATTATACAATTATATAATTGCGTAATTCATATATTAAATTTATGTTATTAGGTGAGTCTGAAGCCATTGTTCTTCGTGCGAGAGCCACGGCTGAAGGAATTATAAAGATTGCTCAAGCTATTGAGAATCCTTATGGTAAAGACGCCGTCACACTTACAATTGCTGAGAAATATATGGAAGCATTCGGAAATCTTGCTAAAGAAGGCAACTCTATTATAGTTCCCGCATCTACTAGTGACGCTGGATCTATGATTGCACAGGTATGTAAAAAAAAGTATTTATAAGTTGATAAATATATTAAATTAATCATTCGAATTTTCAGGCCTTATCCATCTATAATAATGTAAAAAAGCAAACAGAACAACCAAGCAAAATTAACGACACAAGGGGGCAAGACAATAAAAATATTTAATTAATTTTCTCTATTAACTAATATAAAAATAATATTTTTCTAATTCTAAAATAATTAAACAATAAACGCTTCTTCTACAAAATGTTTTATGATTTCTTTTCCCTTTGTTTGAAGCCTATTTCTCATAACGATTGCCGCATGAGCGTTAAATGCATCAAGAAACACGACAATTTTCTCCCACTTTAATTTATTTAAATTTGAAAATGCTTCACATTGAGCTTGACAGACACGAACACAAGGAAATTGTGAAGACGTAGTAAATTCAGACATCGGTGTAGAAGCAGAAGCATCTTCAAATAGATTTGAATTTGACAGTGATTTTTGTGTTGTAGGCGAACTTGGTGCAAGAAAATTTTTTATATTCATAGCAGTTTCCACAGCATCTTCTTCTAAGCTTGTAGATCCAACAGTTCCAAAATCATTTGACAAACCATTATTTGAATTCTTAACCTTCATTGCTAAAATTTTTCGCACTCTTCGTCTTGACATTATTCCTTGAAATGTTATAGTACTAAGTACAAGAATAATCCATAAAGGTAAAAGGATAGGAGTAGCTATAACAACCAACATATAACGTAAGACTCCTTTGATCGTATTTGTTAACTTTTGATTAAAAGAAATTTTTGGTATATTTTCAAGTTTTGATATTGATTCTATTATATCTTGAAATTTCTCATTCGTTACACTAAAATTAATAATATAGTTTGAGTAATATAATAACATGAAAATATTAAATAAGGATGATAAAATAATTTACATTTCCAATTCATCAAAATTTTCAAATGGATCGATTTCAGATATTGCAGCCGTCCAAAAAGGAACTGTCCTATCATTTCTGGAGTTTGCATATATTTTTCTATATTTAAACTCAGAAAGAGCCTTAAAAAAAATTTGATCTTTTCGAAATATAAAAAGAAATATAAATAACTTTGGATGAATTGAATAATAGATAATAAAGATTAATTTTTACCTGGACGAGACATTGTCAATAAAATCGGTTCATTTCCTTCATATTTATCCACAAATGTAAGTTGTTCTCCTGAAAATTTTTAAATTTAGATTAGATTTAAAAAAAAAATTGTGAAATTTAAAATGATGAAACAATTTATATTACCAGTTTGTGATAATAAAGTTGATGATATCCAATTAACAAGTTTTGCTAATAGTTTACTGTCTTCACGTCGAATACCTAAATGTGGAGTTGCAAATGTTGCGAATAACTACCAATAAATTAAAAAAAATTAACTCGAATTAAAATTAGATATAATCGAGAAATTTATAAGAAAAAAAGTAAACATGTACAATTGGTTCAATATTTTTAAAAAATCCTTGTTGATAAAGTATTCCAATCGTATATCTTGATATTAAACCACCAAGAGAATATCCAATAATACTAAATTTTGTGACTTTATTTGAGGTATTGTCTTGGAGGGATTTAACTTCAGCAAGAATCTATTATTCAGATTTTTAAAGAAACAAAAAAAAGTTTTAATTTTTAAAAAATCTCTGATATAATGAATTGATAGTTTTTTTTTTTAAAAAAAAAAAATAAAATTCAACATACTTCTTCTACAAGTCTATCCCCACATACGTTTATACCATCATAAGTATATTTTGATGAGTTGCTCTTTGCGTTTAACTAAAGAAAAATTATTGAATATTAAAAACATGTCAAACAAGGACTTTTACAAGAGGGGAAAGAATTGACTTACAATTTGAACATAATCACCATGTTTTGCTTCGAATTGTTCAACAAGATATTGTAAATGGCCAGGATTTCCCCATAAACTAAATCAAAAGAAAATTCATCAAATTAATTGAATTGTAAATCGATAAAGGGATTTAGTAAAAAGAGTATCATAAATTTTACCCATGAGAAAATACGACTAGATGAATTTCCTTTGACGAACTCATTTATAAAATTGTATAAAAGTGACCTCTAAGTAATAAAAAGTAAGAGAAAAGAAAATTTGGTTCATTTTTTAAAAATAAAAAATCTTTATAATAATTTTATTTCAGTAAAACAAATGCTGCAAGAAAATAAATTTAATTACTAATTATGGATAATTTAATTAACATCTATAATTACATAAGATGATTAATGGATTATTTGAATTACCCGATTCCCCGTCGGCGGATAATACCCTAACAATATGACGTCACGAATTACTAAAAGATTGTCAAATTGGGGTAATTTGGAAAATCTCTATCGCATAATCATAATTTGGAATTAGTTAGTAACTTTTGCTTTATAATCAAAGGATTATAACCCTTATGTTCAACATTTTTGTAAGAAGGAATATAAACATACTTTTTAGTTTAGAAAATTCCATCTCCTAAAAATCATTTCTCTGGGGGAAAATATTATTAAATCAATCCGAATTCTGATAAAAACGATTATAATAGCCAATTAAATACGTATTATAATAGTAATTTCAAGGGCTTAGCATTTACATATTATGCAGAATATTTTATCTCATTCATATGAAAAAGATTAAGTATTTGATAATCTGAAATAAAACGATTCATATGTTCATGTGCAAATTCAATATCTGATGGAAAACTCATAGTTCAGCCGACATTTAATGATCAGCGGCCGATGATCTAGTTCAAATATTAAGTTCCGAATTTTTCGGACCGATGGTACGGAATTATTCTTTTTGAGATTAACAAAATGTGAAAGTCTCTTAAAAAAAAAGGAGAATCGAAATCACTAATTAATCACAGTGATAATGCGTGTTATTTTAAATATATAATAATTTTTTAATATAAAAAATAATGAATTTTTCCAGAGTTTTGACATTTATTTAAAAAAAGTAGAAATTATATTTAAAGAGATGAATTACTAAAAAAAATAATTATATTATATATATAAAAATTTTGTTCTTTGAAAAAAAAGATTATTTGAAAAATAAAGAATATATCACATACAATATAAAACTTTATTTGTACGTGTTGTAAAATTATTGCCTTTAAAGTCAGGTAACAGTCCCTGAAATTCTGGTAATGATTTATCATTTAATTTATTTTCACGAATTAAAAATTCTACTTAAATATCAAACAATCGCAAAAGTTCTTTATGGCGTAAGATATTCATCACGCGATGTTTCATTGATCTTCATCGATAACTTATTATGTTAAATGGATTTATGTGAACCAATCAATGCAACTGTTTTTATTCCAAACTTATTGTTTTAAATTTTTATATCTTTTATATCAATTAAATCTTTATTTTTTTAAAAAAAAAGAAACAATTAAAATAATTTTAAAGAATTACTAAATTACTAAAATTACCAAATTTTTATATATTATAATCCATTTAAATGTAAAATGTCCATCCATAAAGAATTTTCTTGACAATCTATCTGAGAAATCTTTACGTATCTAATTATCTTAATTATCACCTACGAGAAAATCACCTATTTTCCCGTATATTAGGCAAATAATTTCCAATTTGGATAAAATGTCCGTATATATAAATCCAAGTTTACACTTATTTTATGGGTTAAAAATCGCGAGATAATTATATTCATTCATTGTAAAAAAAAATATCCCGCGAAAATCTTTATTTTAAACATATAAATAATGAATTTTTAATTTTCTTTCCTTTTTTCTTTTTTTTTTAAAAAAAAATGCATTAATTACCTGATGTAAAAGAAAATTAGTTCATTATAAATTTTTCTTAAAAAAAAAAAAAGAAAAAGGATTTTTTTTTCCTTTCTTTTTCTTTTCCTCTTCTTTTTCTTTTTCCTCGACCCATTTGTGTATTAATTTTTTATACTTATTATTTGTAAGTAAAAAAGAAATACACATATTATATATCTGTTACTTATTCTTCGTTTCTTATTAACAGATACCTTTCTTTCCTTTGAATTATTCTTAATTAACGTAATTTTAACGTCTTACTTTCATTCATTAAAACTTTCGTCCTTTGGTAAATATATAATTATATACAATGAAAATGATGAAAAAAAAAAAAAAAATCAAATAACGAATACTTTTTCTTCTTTTTTTTTTTAGAGAACACGAACAATCTTAATTTCTTAACGCACCAGTAAGTATGGCAACTACCGATAATAAGACAGTATATGTTGATATAACAATCGGAGTTGTTGTTATTTTAATTGGTGCAATCGTTTATACTGGACGGATTATATATAAAAGAAGAAGAAGAAGAAGAAGAAGAAGAAGAACGGATTCTGAAAGTGTTCTCGAGTCAGTAGTAGAAATGGGAGAAATGAATAATACACCTAAAAAAACTGCGGCAGATCATCTCGGAGAATTAAAGGAAGTGACACAAAAAGTTTTACAACCTTTAAGGAAAAGTTCTTCATTCTCTTCTCCAAGAGAAAATGTATCTACTGTTCTTAGTTCAGAAAGAAGTTCGGTTTCTTTTAAAAATAATACGAGACATGATAATAAAATTTCTACTTTAAAAGATTCTTTAATGTTTAAACCATTTAAAGTACCTCCTCCTCCTCCTCCCTCACCATTAAGAAATGATGATTTTAAAGTAGAACCAATACGATTGTCATTGTTAAATTTATTACTTAATAATGAATCTACAAATACATCATCATCTATATCTTCCCCTATAATTGATTCATCATCAGATTTATCATTCCCTACTGGAACAAATTCAAATAATGATTCATTAAATTCATTACAAAAATCATTATCAAAGTCACAACCAGATTTTAACAATTTATCACGAACAACTAATATCCCTAGAGAAACAAATTTAAAAGAGGATTCATTAAGAAAAACATTATCAAAGTCACAACCAGATTTTAACAAATTTCGAACAACTACTATCCCTAGAGAAACAAATTTAAAAAAGGATCCATTAAGAAAAACTTTATCAAAGTCACAAACAGATTTAAAGAATTCATTACAAACAACTACACTCCCTAGAGAAACAAATTCAAAAGAGAATTTATTACGAAAATCAATGTCAAAGTCTCAACCAGATTTAAAGGATTTATCCCGACAAAAATTGCCGCAGTTAGATTTAACATCTCCTCCAAAATTAAATTCAAAAAAAGGTCCATTATCGCAGTTGGATTTAACACCTTCTTCACGGACAATACCACAATTAAATTCGACAATGCCTTCAGAAGCACGTTATAAATGGGATTTAACACGAACAACGTCAACAACGCCAAAATTAGATTCTAAAGTTCAATCAAAGAGGTCAAATAGACACACATATTCACGCAACAAAGAAACGAATGATTATTCAAATTTTCAACCGGTACAAAACATTAAACCTGTTCAAAATGTTCAAAATGCTCAATCAGAAAAAACTGGCAAGATCACAAAAATCGTAGAAACTGAAGTAGAAGAATTAACATTATCTCCTATGTACAGAATAGTAAAACCAGTTTTTAAAAACGTAAGACAAGATGATGAAATAATTCTTGATGCAACTTTGGAATGAAAAGTTATTCAATAAATATAAACGAATGTTTTGTTATCGGATAAATCTATTATTGTTATTATTATTATTGCAATTTCTATTTATAGAGATTCCGCACTATGAAATTATTTTAATTTAATAACTAATAGAACTTTTTTTTTTTTTTTAAGATTTTTATTTATTTATTTATTTTTTTTTTATGCTTATTTTTTTTTTAAAAAAAATTTTAATTGTAATTAAGAATGGTTTATAGAAATAATCATGTATTAATTTTTTGCTGCGGGGTACAAACCAAATTTTCGGTGGATTTGTAATTTTTTTCCCGATTGAACGCCCAAAAAGTATTTGATTACACAAATAATGGTACAAATATTTAAACAATACACTTTTTTTAACAGTCTGCAGTGACATTCTTTACTTTTTTTACTTTAGTTTTCTTTTGAATGATTAGTTCGAAAACAAAATTTACGCCTACGCGCCTACGTAGTGTAACGAAAAAAAACAAAAAAAAACTTTATTATAGTCGCTCATTTTGAAATGTTATCCTTATGCATAAATAGGTTATCTTTTTCATTGAAAAATATAATTCTCTTTTGTTACGAATTTGTTAAATATTAGTAAAATATGGCCAATAAATACGCGAATAAGCCGCGTTTTTTTTTTATGATATCTATTGTAGTGTTTTTTAGTATATTATTTGGTTTGAGCACTTTGGTTCAAGCTCAACTTTTGAATCAAGAAGAATTTCTTTTAGAAACTGGTAATTGGTTAGGTGATAAGGCTGAACAAATATTGGAAGATACTGTCAATAAATTTGTTCATAATAAATGGAATAATAAACAAGATAAATCCGATGATGGTTGGGTTAAAGTTTTATCTCATGAAGCTTTTCCCGACTATGAAATCAAATTAAAAGAACCAAAAATTTGTGATTCTACTGTTAAACAGGTTTGTTTTTTTTTTCGTTGCCGTTGAGAAAAGAATAATAAAATTTGATTAAATAGTTAAATAAATTCTTTATTAGTATTCCGGATATCTTGATGTTGGAAGTAAAAAACATTTCTTCTTTTGGTTCTTTGAATCAAGGGATAATCCTAAAGAAGATCCTGTTGTTCTTTGGGTTCGTATTTTTGTAAACGATTTATATATCAAAGTTTTTTATTTTTTTAATTAACTTATTGTTTCTTCATTTAATTTCTTTGATTAGCTTAATGGAGGTCCAGGGTATGTTATTAAAATGATCATTTTTTTATTTTATCGTAATACAATGTGATTTCTCTGGTTGAACAAGTATTTATTTCTATACAATTAGATGTTCTTCTTTGACTGGTTTGTATTTTGAACTTGGACCATGTGCTGTTACTGAAGACGGAGCTTCTACGGTTTGGAATGAACATTCATGGAATAACAATGCTAGTGTTTTATTCCTGGATCAAGTATGAATTTTTGTTATGCTTTGTTTATAAGTTAAATTACATTCGATAATATAATTAATTATTATATTATCACTTGTAGCCTATAAATGTTGGTTACTCTTATGGAGATGGAGTATCTAGTACACTTGCTGCAGCAACTGATGTTTACGCTTTCCTTCAAATCTTTTACAAAGAATTCAACCAATTCGCAAATTTGGATTTCCATATTGCTGGTGAATCGTAAGTAACAATTGCGTGTGTTACGAATATTATAACATCTGATATTTATTTATATTTTACAATTTCTTTACCAATAGATACGCTGGTCATTACATTCCTGCTATTGCCGCCGAGATTAACAACAATAATAAAGGAACTTCATCGTGGGTTCTTTCAAGGCCAGAGGGATTACAGGATCTTTTACATATCAATCTTGAATCAGTTTTAATAGGCAATGGTCTTGTCGATCCACTGGTTCAATATGAATATTACCCAAAGGTAACTTACCTTTTTTTTTTCTCTTCTTTTTTTTTGTAACTTTTGATGATTTAAACTTATGATGTTTTTGTTTAGATGGCATGTAATAACACATATAAGCCAGTTTTGGATCAAGATACCTGCGACAGTATGGCTGAAGCGTATCCTAAATGTGCTAAGATGATTAGCAATTGTTATGAGAGACCTAGTGTCTTTACTTGTCTTCCGGCTTCAATGTATTGTAACAATAAAATGATTCAACCTTATCAAGCTTCCGGACAAAATCCTTATGACGTTAGAGTTGAATGTGAAGGAGGCCAATTGTGTTATCCAATCCTTAAAGCCATTGAAAAGTACTCCAATCTTCCTGAGGTCAAGAATGAATTAGGTGTCAGCGATGAAGTCAAATATGAGTAAGTATAACTTATTTGAAAAAAAAAATATTAAAATATTTTAATAATTTATTTAAAAATTTTTCCATTTTTGCAAATTTATTGTAGGAGTTGTAATATGCAAATCAATTTTGCTTTTCAAATGTCAGGAGACTGGTAAATAAATTTGAAATGATTTAATTTCATGTTAAAAAATAAACGTTTCGTTTATTCTGATTTTATTTCTTAATTTTTAGGATGAGACCATTCCATCTTCTTATTCCAGAATTGTTAAAATCAAACATAGATGTATTAGTATATGCAGGGTAAGTATTATGTCAAATTATGTTCAATAATTGAAAAGTTAACCAACTATTTATTTGGCTAATAAAATATTTTTTCCCTTTCTTTAGTGATGCTGATTTTATTTGTAATTGGTATGGAAATGAAGCTTGGGTTAGAGAATTGGAATGGGAATACAAAGAAGGATTTAATGCAGCAGAAGATACAAAATGGATTACGGAAAAAACATCCTCTCATGCAGGATATGTCAGGTCTCACAATGGATTAACATTCTTGCGCGTATTTGAAGCAGGCCATATGGTTCCTTATGACCAAGCGTCAGCCAGTTTAGATTTCTTTAATAGATGGATTAGTAAGAAATCTCTTTAAAGAGAATATTCATTTATACTTTTTTTTTTTTGAAATAATTATGTAATAATTTTAATTTCAGCAAATAAACTTTGAATCATTTAAATTTTTTTGTAAGCAAATTTTAATGGAAATTTCAAGTTAATTATATTACATTTTTTACGTAAATAATTACTAACTTAAATTATTGGGAATGACAAGATCAATTTGCATTGATACATAATCATCATTTTCAGGAGAAGAATTATTGCTAATTATACTACTAGTAGTTTTACCAGTAAGAATTCTATCATGAATAGAAAGTGTTGAACCAGTAACTTTATTACTATTATTAATATTATCAATACTCAAGAAATCATCATCAAAGTCATTTGTTATATAAATAAAATTTTCAGTAATTCCATTTTTTAAATCATTCTCCCAAGTTATATAAATTTTATCAAATAATAACCATTTAACCAATGTAGTATATATTTCTTTTGCTTTTGGTCTTTTAGTATAATCTTTATCCCAACAAGATTGAATTAAATCCCATAATTCTAAAGGGGTACCATTAATTGGAGGAGGTCTTTTATTATTAGTCGTAATTGATTGGATTAAATCAAAATCATAAGGACAATTATCATAAACTTTTTTACCACTAAGAATTTCCCAAGCAATTATACTAAAACCATAAATATCAGCTTCAGGACCATAATGTTCACTTAAAAAAACTTCAGGAGCAACATAAGGAGGGATACCATAAATTATCCTACTGTTTCTTTTCTCAGTATATGGATGACATAGACCTAAATCTGATACATAGAATGAATTTTTACTTCTTAATATATTACCAGGATGTATATCACCATGAATTAAACCATTAGAATGAATATCTCTTATAGCAGATATAATTTCTTTTAATATACGTAATTTATCTTCAAAATTAAGATTATTATAATTATTAATAAGATAATTTCTTAAATCACCATTTTTAGCATATTCCATTACAATCATATAATGATTGTTAAAATCTTTAGTAACACCATAAACTAAAGGAATATAAGTACTAAAAAGTTTTGTTTGTAAATCCAATTCATTTATAAATTTTTTCATATCAGATTTATTTAATAAAGTTTTTAATGCAACAATTTCAGGTTCCAAACCATTTAAACCAATTTTCCATACTGATTTATAAATAATACCTTCACCACCTTTTTTTAATAATTTTATATCATCAAATTCATTATACGGAATAAAAAATAATGGTAAATTTATAAGATTTTCTTGATTAAGTTTTTGAGTACTTTTTAAATAATCATCAAGTTGTTTTGATCCACTAGTAAAATTTCGAAATCTTTGTGAAATTGATGATTTATTAATTATTTCTAAATATCCTATTTTTGATCTCATATTTGATACTGTTTATTTATTCTTGTATAAAAAAAAAATGTAAATGATGAAGGAAATATGAACGGGTATTTATATGAAAATATTTTAAGGGTGAGGGTAAAAAAAGGTCTTAATATAGTATATATGGTGTAACAGAAGATTTTATATATTACGTGAGGTGGAAGTAATAAATGTCACTGCCCTTATCTGTTATTATTATTAAATTATTATGTATTTATAAACAGATATTTATTGTTGAAAGACAATACTTTAACTTCTTTCGGAGAATAAAAGAAAATACCTTTACGATAACCACTACGTAAGCCTCAATACGGGAAAAACGGAGCGATTTTATATTTTTGAATCATTATCATTGTAATAACGCTTTATTTAATTATATAATTTTGGATATAATTACGTATATATACTTTTTTTTATACTTCCTTTATCAACTTTCCTATTATTAACTATTAATAAAATATCCATTGTATAGAAAAATTCTGATTTGTTACACAGCTTTATATTAACTTCTAATATAAGAAAATCTTTATGAGATTTCCTCTTTTTAAATAACTGAATTCGTACATAATTAAATACCAAATATAATAATATATTTTTTTTATAAAGAAATGTACTACTATATTTGGTATTAGACTTTACCGAGTTGTTTTTAGGAATTAAAAAGAAAATAATATATTAGTAATATAAAATAATTCAATTTTTATTTTTCCGGAGGAAAAAAATTCTCCGCGTAAATTAATTTTTTTTAACCAAATTTGTTCGCGAAATTATGAATTAAAAAGTTATGACTAAACTATATTGAGAAACGACAATGAAAAAATCATTAAAGAGTTGGGCGGGTTTTTTTGAAGGCGAAATTTTTTAATTCTTTCTTTCCAAACTAGATTTTTTTTTATATTAATTTGTTAAACCTAATTAGGTAACAACAAATTCGGTATTTTCGGTTATAGAATCGAATTATAAATTCTATTTCTCGTTTAAAGTTGATTTTTTTTACGGTTTTTTTTTTTATCTAAGATTTAATTTAAATTTTTAAACAAAACCATATTTGATCAAATAAATAAATATGTTGTGTAATGCATAAATACAAATTGAATTTAATTTTTTTATTTCGTTTTTTTTTTAAATTTTTTTTTCTTTTTTCTTTTTTTTTTTTAGAAGTGTAATTTTAAGATTACCATTCATTTTTTAAGGTAGTGTGTCTATAATAATGTGGTTTGATTTCGCCAAAAAAAATATTTATTAATTAATTAATATATGTTTTGCAATTTGCTACTGCTAAAAAGTAAAAAAAAAAAAAAAGAAAGATAAATTTACATTACAATTTTGAAAAAAAAATTGATTTTACTCTAGAAAAATAACCATCACCAATAATTCCGTTTTTTCTAATAGTTCTCTCGGTTTGCTTTTTTTTGCATGGAGAGATTTTTAATGGTTTATTCTTATCAATTATTATCGCATTTTTTATAATATACTTTTTGTTTTAATACTGTATATGTATGTATTTATAATATATTTATCGACTTTAAGTCGAACACCCCCCGACAATGTCATTTTCTTATTTACTCTTCTTCCTGCTTGTTGTATGATCGATAGTTTGATTTGTGAATGCATCTTGCATATCAGTTCGCTTTTTCATTCGTGCTTTGATTAGTTTTTTTTGTTCAGTGAGTTCTTCAAGTCTTTCAATCTATATTTTATATAATAATAATAATAATAAACATATTAGATTTATGAAAGTATTTACAAAAGAAAATTGATATATCTTTATCATGTATACTAACCTTATTCGTTTTCATTAATTCTATTTGAATACTTCGTCGTTTTTGCCAACTACCATGCTTTTTACATTTTCCTTTCGGTGTGGTACAAACTTCTTCACTACCTTCAAATTTTTCTTCAACATAATTATCAATCCAATCTAAACGTATATTGTATCCACAGATTTGTCCGTTACGAATATTTACGTCACTTTCAGACTGTTTATCAAATTCGCATGGTACTTGATTTGATCCATCACTATCATCTTGTTCACTATCACTTTGAGACTTCTCTGAACCTTTTACCGCTACTTTATTACGTTTATCAATAATTTCAAGTTCTTTTTTTATTGAATTTTTCCGCCTTGAAATTTTTTTCAATTGTTCACCATCTTCTAATTGACCGGATCGATTTGTTACATTTCGCTTAACACGACTTTTTTTATCTTTATTGTCCTTGATTTTTTGTTTTAATAACTTTCCCATTTTCGCTAGTTTTTCTTCATTTTTCAAAAGTTCTCGGTTCCATGATAAACCACATTTAATTGAACAGAACTTAGTTTTTACAAACCTTGCAAGTTTTTTACAAGGTGGATATTTACATTTTTCGGGTTTCCATGATGTTTTGAACCCTAGTTCTTTTTTTTTTGGGGAAAAAAAAGAGAGAAAGAATTAATTAGTTAAAGATAATAATAACTAATGGTTAAATAATAAACTCAAATTATATCATACCTGCGCAATTCGGACAATAATACTTGTCAACCAACTGTGATTCTTCTCGTGTTATGTTTACACATGCACCGTGATACCATTCATCACAGTTGTCACACTCAATCATAAATGATTCACCATCGGATGATCTACATATACAATAAAGTTGCATTTTTTGATCGATCTTGTTAATGGTCACATGATTATTACCCATTTCATTATCGACCATTTTAATCTCAGTTTGAGGCTGTAAACGAGGTGAATTATTAACGCTTGAGTTATTGGAAGTAGTTCTTGAACGAAATTGTGGTGGGGATACCGATTTTTTAAGTCTCTTTTTCTTATTATTATTAGGAACTGATTGAGATGTAGCTTTCCTTTTTAGTGGTGCTGATCTCGGTCGTTTCGTCGTCGGCTTACGCTTTCGTGGTTTATCGTCATCCGATGACATTACTTCATGGTCTTCCCGTTTTATTTTATACTTGTGATTTTTAATTTCTCGATCTTTTCCTTTTCCTTTATTCTTTAAGCTTTTCTTTCTTTTATTTTTTTTATCAACATGTTTATTAGCAGCTTTAGTAGTCATTGTTTCTTCTATTAAGCTCCCGCTATCGCTATCAGTCTCGGTTGTTTCTCCATATACATGATCATATTCATACTGCGGAAACTCAGAATCCGTTTGAGGAGGAGCAGGCGTGCTTCCTGTAGTACTTTCATATGATGGCGGTGATATAAATGTCTTTATGGGTGTGAAGGAACGTTCAACGAATGGAGAAGCTGGAAGGGAATCAAATTCTTGTTCCGAATGAATATTTACTTCTTCACCTGATCCGGCTTCACTCGTTTCCATTTCTTTTCTTTTCATGTTTTGAAGTTCATTAAGAGCTGTACTAGCCAGTTGGTCTAAACCAGAAACAAAGTGTGTTTCTTCTCCAACTTCCATCTCCATATTAGTGGAGGGTAGTGTCGGACTATATTCCAAATACTCAACTTCTTGTATCGAATTTGTAGTGTATTCTCCAACATTATTAGACAAGTCTTCTAATTGTATTCCATTAGAATCGACGGAAGGAATAGAAGTTTTACGAATAGTATTAATACTAACATTTGTGTTGGTATTATTATTATCGTTATTTTCATGTACGTTGTGGTAGGTATTACCTTCTTCCACGGAAATTACCTCCTTTTCTTGTCCATTGAGACTTAAAGAAGTAGGAGAAATAGGAAGGTTAATACTTGTAGGACTTGAATTATAATTCGTGGGAGAAGTATTTTGTAATAAGTTATTATTTAATAAAAGTGAAGGAGAAGAAGGCTGTATTGTAGTTGGCGTGTTCGTTACCGAAATTGAGGAGGGTGAAGAACAAGTGTTTGTTTGTGACAGAGGTGTCACATTTGTAACGTTATTAAAAGGGAAACTTTGTTGTTTGTTAAAACCATAGCCATAACCAAAGTTAATTGGTGTGTTGGCAGAGCTCGAAAAAGTGGGAGGCGGTGAAAGGGTTTGAAAAACTGGGTTTGGAGGAGGTAATAGTAAATTTAGAGGAAGGCTCGAAGTCTGTGGGGATTGTGGGAGATTTCCCGAACTGTAATATGATTGTTGGGTATTGGAACAAGAAGTAGGAGGCAACACTAAATGTGTTGGAGTTTCTTGTTGTACTGGAGATCCTACAGTCGAAACTTTCGAAAGCGAAGACTTGTACGAAGGTGATGGTACAGGATTCAACATTGACATGATGTTGAACGAAGAAGTTGTTTGTTTTTGTTGCTGCATTTCTTCTTTGTTCTCTTGTTTATATTCGCTTGTTGACAAATTCTTTATTTGGCTTATGGAGTCTTGTGAAGTTTCTAACAAAAGTTCTACTACGGGAGACATTTCACTAATACTCTTTCAAAACATTTCCCAGGGAAAGGAAGAAGTGGTAAGAAAAAAAAAACCTGTGTAAAAAAAAGGAAACCAAGAGTCCATAAAAAAAAGGCTTATCATAGTTACTATCCATTTTATGGTTGGTAAAGCGATACGTATGATCACTAGCATCATTAGCATATCAGGTTTAAAAAACGTGAGTGAAGGTGAGATTGATTCTTAGCCAATCAAAAAATTTTACATTATAAATATATAAATAACTTAAACTAAAGAAGTTCAAAGAACGTCTTCTTTAAGTAAAGACAATGTGACAAAAACCTAAAAACAGCTTTAACCCCCTTCATGTTGTGCAAGCTATCCGGTTGATGCTGGTTTTTTTGTGGCACAGATTACATGACTCACTGCACATGTATAAGCTGTGTTTTCCGTACGACAATATATTATGCTGAAATCTTAAAAATCATACATCAACCGTGATGATTTTCGAAAGAGCTAATTCTACTGCGTATTCATTTAAAAATTTCAATTTCGACTCGACTTTTGATTATAGCATTTAAAAATGGTAAATGAAATTTATTTTATTTTTATTGTAAAGGTCAACGTTATTATCTGACTGATCATGTACTTATAAACTTCATAAAGGCTCGTAATGAAGAAAAAGCTCAGTAGGTTTTTTTTTTCAATTGTTCATTATTTAACAGGTTATAATTATACTAATTTTCTCATTTATGATTTTAAAGGTCTATGCTTTATCGTTTTCGGGAAGCTCAAGCTGTCCAACTTGGTTTAGTAAAACCAAAAGAACGTCGACCTTATTTGGCTTCAGACTGTAATAATTTAAAAGATGCAGAGAAATGGCGACAACAAATTATAAGAGAGATTTCTAGAAAAGTGTCAAAAATTCAGGACGGTAAGTTCATTATTTTCGAACACAGAATTTTTAATTTGTTCATTTGGTTTTAATTTTATTTTATTATATTGATTGTGTAGCTGGCCTGTCAGACTATCAGATCAGAGATCTGAATGATGAGATTAACAAATTAATGAGAGAAAAGAGTCATTGGGATGATCAAATAAAAAGATTAGGTGGCCCAGATTATAAAGTAGTATATGTTTCAATTATTATGTTTTATATTAATTTCCTTGAAATATATTTAGATTTAGATTTTTATAATAATTTATTAGAGAGTGGGACCGAAAATGTTGGATCACGAAGGAAAGGAAGTGCCGGGAAATAGAGGTTACAAGTACGTATGTTTTGGGTATTAAATTACATTGGATTAAATTACCAGTTTAACTTTTTTTTTTTTCAATTTAAAGATATTTTGGAAGAGCAAAAGACTTACCAGGAGTAAGAGATTTATTTGAGCAAGAAGGTAATTAATAAATATTATTCTGTTTGTTAATATATATTAAAAAAAATTAATATTTTGAAAAAATAGCTCCTTCACCACAAAAACGTACGAGATTTGATTTATATAAAAACGTAGATGCAGATTATTATGGGTATAGAGATGAAGAGGATGGATCATTGTTAGAATATGAACGTGAAATCGAAAATAAAGGTATGAAATTCATTATTCTTGTCATCGATTAGATTAAGATACATATATATATATATATATATTTTATTAATTAATTAATTGGTTTATTATTTTTGAATTTAGTAATTGCTGAGGCGTTGGAGATAACAGATGAAACATTGCCCAAAGATAAATCAAAAAAGAAAAAAGAGAGTACCTCACAATTAGAGAACAATTCAATGGACATTGATTCATCTTCGGAAAAATATGTATCACATGTTGCTGTACCTTCTCAAAAAGAAGTAGAAGAATATTTAGTGCGAAGAAGGAAACGTCAAATGCTTGATCGGTATGTGTCGGAATGAGTAGTACAAAAGTCACAAATTTTAACGGGTTAACGAGAACTGCATTTATGGTAAGACTATAAGAAAATGAATTATTCCTACTGGAATCTTCATAGATATCCTTTATTATCTAAATGAAATATTTTTTTCTACTTCATTTTACTTCATTTTATTCCTGACTACAAGGGTATCCGAGGCAATAAAGGTACAATAATTTTCATGATATGAAAAATCAAAAAATTTATTTATCGTATTACAATCTCCTATATTTTTTAAAATTTAAATAAAATTATAAAATTATAAAGCAATAAAGAAAAAGAATAAATTCAGTTTATAAAATCGGCATGTCGATTTGTGTACCAAATAAGAAAAACCATATTATTTATTGCTCCTTATTTATAGATTGTTACACAACATAGATTATAAAATACCAAATTTTGAGGATTACCCATTGTCTCTTTATAATTAATTACGTTATGGTGAGTATTTTTTGAAAAATAAAATTTCTTATTTTAATTTATTTATTTATTGATATCTATATTTGTACTATAGGAACGAAAAGAAGGTAATGAAAAGTTATCTTTTTTAAAAAAATAGTTTTAAGGAATAGGCTTATTTATATAAAATAAATACCTTTTTTATTTTAGAATATCATAAAGCCTTCAAACTTTTTGATAAAGAGGGTAATGATACAATTCCTGGTGAAGCATTAGGTGATTTATTACGCGCTTTAAATCAAAATCCAACAAATGCTGAAGTAGCTGAGCTCGCTAAAGGAGCTGGACCAAAAAGTAAAATTATTTATTTAATTTTATTTTAACATTAAAAAAAAGAAGAAAAAAAAAAAAATCTTAATAATTTATTATAGTTAGTTTTGATAAATTTCTTGAAATTCTTTTACGTCCTGATGGATTTGCGCCTGCGGCATCATATGAAGAAATTTTTGAAGGATTTCAAGTTTTTGATAAAGATCGAACTGGTTATATATCAGTTGGTGAAGTAAAATATGGTTTGTAAATAAAAAATTTTTTTAATAACAAAAAAAAGGAAATTCTAAAATTAGTTTATATTATGATTAGTTTTAACAAGTTTAGGTGAGAAACTTTCCGAAGCCGAAGTAGACGATTTAATTAAAATAGTTGACGTTGATAAGAATGGAAATATTAAATATGAAGGTACGTTAATTTAACTTGTTTTTTTTTTATATTCGTTTTGTTTTTTTTAACTATTTTTATCTTATTATTAGATTTTATAAAAAAAATTCTTTTATCGTAAATTGGGTGTAATAAATATATATTTAATAATTTATTTATGTTACTAACCGGTGAATTAATTTCTATAGTCACTGTATTATTACTTTTTGTAAACAAAAATGTAATCATTAAATTAACCAAATAAATAATACATATAATAAATATTCTATATGTAATAAATAAATTATTTAAAAATTCTCAAAATTTTAATATATAGATCCGTCAAATAATCTATTAACCATATTCTCCAAAGTTTGTGGATCATATCTAATATATTTAGTAGGATTTTTGGAAAATTCCGTTTGTTGATATTTTTCTAAGAATCGATTATATACAGGCATTAAAACAATCTTAATATCTTTGATAACCTGAATACGTAAGTCGGGGTCGGGTATTGCATAACTTTTATGAACTTTGTATGTTTCCTCGAATTCTGTGTTGAAATTCTATTATAATTTTATAATTATAAATTTCTTAATTTTGATCGATCACTTTTTTTTAAAAAAAACGTATAAACAGATATAATCTTATTACCTTGAATTTTTCTTTAACAATTGATTTTTCGTTTGATCCTAAAGCCTTTAGTGCGGAACCACCTCGAACCCATGTAGTGTCCATAAGATTTGAAAAACATGGCTTCCATCTAAAGATCAAAGAAGTAGTAATTAGCTTTCAAGTTCATTAAATATAAAAATCATTGAATAACATACGTGTCTTGATAGCCATCATTATATTTTTTGACCATTTTCTCATATTTACGTTCAATATCTGGATCTAAAACAGAGTAAAATTGGGACCTTACACTTTTCAAAATATGATGATAGTTATTTAATAGGAAAATACACGTCAGCGCAGTCTTTTTATATGACTTTGATCTGGAATCTAGTGTGTTAGACAAACTTTCTAAAACATCAGCTAAATAATTTTGGTGAGAATAAGTTAAAAAATCATTAATAAAACATATATACAATCATATACACTAATATTAATGATAATACCAAAATAGTGTTGAATAACAACATTTCCAGATACACCACGTCCTGTTTTGTCTCGTGAAAAATTAGCGTCTTTCTCTGAAGAATTCCAATTACCGTCTCCTAAAGTCAATAGCATTGTCTCAACTGTTTCTTGATAATCAGTTAACCGCTTTAGGTGTTGTAAAGTCTAAAAAAATAATAATTTTTTTTTTTAAATGTCTCCTTAGCAAGTTCATCTTTTTACAACAACTTATTTCGTAAAATAATAACATACTGTTATTGTTAATTCATGAATAGTACCATCGCTTGGAATATTCATCGTCTTTGCACGATTATTCTGATAATAATGTAAATATTTGATAAATAAATCAACATTTTTTTTTTAAAAAAAAAAAAAAAATTTTAAAAAAAAGCTTTACTTTAATTTCGTCTATAAACTCTGGGAATGAACAAAGTGCAACTGCTCTTAATGAATATAAGAGTTCGTTATAAGCTGAATCTTTTTTCCCTGCAAGCTTAATTAGAGTTAAATATTAATAATAAACATTGATAAAAATTCAAAAGATCAAAAGTGAAAGAAAAGTAGAAAATTTCTCACATACTCTAAACACTTCTTCGAAAGAACCAACATTTTTATTCAATGATTCCATCATATCAAAAGCCAAAAATACATCTGTTTGCATATTTTTTTTTATACGATTAGTCAATGTTCTGCCAGTTTCAACATAATTATCTAGTGGAATTTGTATTGTGTCTCTGTATCCGGGCATAACACTTTCTGAAGGAAGAATTTTCTCTGCTATTTCATATTCTGTCTAATCAATTTACTAAGTATTAAAATAAAGTAAAAAATAAACAATAAATTTGATGCTTAAAAAATACCTTAAACATTTTTAAAATGGCATCCGTATATGAGTTAAACCCACAAGTTCCTTTCTCATATACTGGAGTACTTCTTTTTTCTGCAGTACTAATAGAACCCTGCGCTAATGTTTTTAATGATTTTGTAAGATATGTTGAACGTACTTCAATATAAACTTTTACAAAATCACTATTGTATCCAATTTCTGGACCAAAAGATGAAAGATATGAAGATAATGTTGCAAGGTTTTGTAAAGGCCCTTGTGGAATTCCGGGTATATCAAGATCTGAGAATAAAGATTCAAATTATGTAAATAATACTTGAATAATTTAAAATTATATTTTAATAGAATTTTTTACTTTTTGTTATATAAGAAAGTGGTTCGATTGAATTAGATCTATTTGTCAACCATGAACGAAAAAGGTCTTCCAATTTTAATATGGCAGCCTTTAAGAGTTGTTTCTATAATTTGAATAATTTCAGCATTGCAGAATAAACATTTAATTTTAATTCATTCGTTATTTCATACCAACTGCCCAATGACTTTTTCACTACTCTTTAATCTCATTCCACTCAAAACTTCTATTGCTTTTTTACATTTTCCAATAGAATTTAAATATGATTCCAAATCATTTTCATTTGGACTAATTAAATGAATCTCATTTAGAAAAAAACCGAGTTAGAGAATGTTATGAGAATTAAAGAATTTAAACCAACCCTCTTTTTATCATCATTTCTTCTCTTTCTACCAAATCAAAATATCCAATAATCTCCAAAACTCCATTACGAGTCCTATCAATATCTAAGAAAAAATGGTTGATATAGGAACATTATACGCCTAAACCTTATTAATTAGATTAAAATAAAAGGTTAAAAGGATACTCTCCGCCAACTTGGTTAAAGTCAGTGTCGATTTGTGAATTGGCAGAATTGAAGCCTCTAATCTCACCAATCGATCATCAAATATATTAAGCATACTAGTCTATAAGAGGAGTAATAGTCAAAATAATTATTAATTTTTTAAACTACATATGTAATAAAATTTTAAGCACAGAAATTGATAAATTTTAATTTTAAAAAAAACCTATTAGAAGACAGACCATTTTCTCTGTCAGAGCTTCAGTATTTTTCAGATTTTCCTCAAGAAAATCTAGATCTGCACTTTCTTCATCAAGTCTGTCCATAATGAATCAAAAAAAAAGATATTATCGACGACAAAGCTATTCTCCTAGTAAAAAATGTGTTTAACTTTATGCAATGTGGATCTCAGATGAAGTTACACGAGTTAATTAAAGCGTGGGAAAATGAGATTTTTTTTTACTCTCCTCATAATAATTCTTCTAACAGCTATCACAATGCACCTACCGAGGCTTAGTTTTACTACCTTGTGTTTATTGTCCTTACTTATTCGTTTAGGAATGTTGATTTATGGCGAATGGCAAGACGCGCATATGCAAGTAAAATATACTGATATAGATTATAAGGTTTTTTCCGACGCAGCGTGTTTTGTCACTAAGGGAGAAAGCCCATATAAGCGCGCGACATATCGATATACGCCTCTTCTTGCGTTTTTATTAACACCGAACATCTATATTCACAAATCATTTGGCAAATTCTTGTTTGTTATTGCTGATATTGTAGTTGGGATATTGATACATAGAATTTTGTGTTTACGAGGATTACATGATCAAAAGGCTGTTAATTATTCCGCGATGTGGCTTTTGAATCCCGTAGTTGCAAACATTTCAACGCGTGGAAACGCGGAATCATTACTTGGAGCTATGATACTCTTGACCTTGTATTGGGTGCTTGTGAAAAAATTCTTTGCAGCAAGCATATTATATGGAATATCTGTCCATTTTAAAATTTATCCTATTATTTACGCTATACCGTTATTGGTCTTATTGGATGATGAAGATTATTGGGGTTTACGAAGGAAGGGCAAGGAGAAGGAACATGATAGAAATTCTTTAAAGTATTGGACTGGAAAACTGGTCAGATTTGTGAGTCCAACAAGGATTAGATTTGCTTTGATAAGTGGTGGTGTGTTTTTCCTGTTAAATGGAATCATGTATTACCTGTAAGTTCCTTTATCGATGAGAGTAAATATAAATCCTTATTGCGTGTAAGTTTGTAACTAATCATTGAATAAATTAGCTATCCTTTTTAAATATTTAGATATTCACTAGAATTTGTCAACGAAACTTATCTTTACCACGTAACACGTAAAGATCATCGCCACAACTTTTCCCTCTGGTTTTACTATATTTATCTTACCTTTGATGCTTCCAAAAGTTCTATAATGGCTTTATTGGCATTTTTGCCCCAGATAAGTATCGTAACACTGTTGGGAATCGTATTTGGCAAAGATATATTTTTTGCATGTTTCGTTCAAACTTTTGCATTTGTGATTTATAACAAAGTTTGTACTTCACAGGTAAATTATCCATGAATTAATATATGAAACGTTTATTATTATGAAATTACAATTAATCCATTTATTTGAATTAGTATTTTATGTGGTATATATGTCTATTTCCACTCATAATTCAATCCACGACAATCAGATTTTTTTATAAAGGGTTATTTATGTTACTCACATGGATAGTTGGCCAGGTATCTATAAAAATTTTTTTTTTTTAAAAAAAAAAAAATAAATAAGTAAATAAAAGTGATTTTTTTACATATAATAGGCACTTTGGCTTTATCAAGCTTATAATCTTGAATTCCTAGGGGAGAACACATTCTTTAACATATGGTTAGCAAGTATTGTTTTCTTTGCGGCAAATATTTGGATACTTACTGAAATCGTGCAAAATCATGTATATGAAAAATGTTTTGGATTAGGAAAAGTCAGAAATGTTTGGAAAATCAGAGAAGATATAACAAATGGGCAGAGTTCAAACAGTGGGTCAAAATATTCCGTCTATTCATAGAAAGAATATAAAAATTGTGATGGATAAGATGGATATTAAAAAATAATTTATAACCATTTTAGATGCAATATAAATAAATAAATATATTATAAACTTTACAATTTAATAAATTATATAACTTTTTTTTTTAAAAAAAATTAAATTTTATATATATATATGTTGAATAAGCGCTTCAGTGAGACTTCTTAAATGTTACTCTAACTCCGTCATCACTTACATTTTTTCATTAACATGTTAATCAAACTAAAACTAATGACATTTTAATTAAATCGTTTTAATTTTATTTCTTCTTAGTAGCTTCTTCCTCTTCCTTGGCCTTACGACGGACTTCACGTACACCAACAAGACGGGCGTCAGAGCGAGCTTTACGCAAAACAGCATATGCGCTAACAGCCTTTTCTTCATCAGTAATAGGTCGAGCCTTTTCTCTCGTCCATGTTTGTTTAATTGGTAAGACCGCGCCCTTTTGTTGAGTTGCATTGGCTGTTTCAGCCGGCTAAAACAAGAAAAATGTTAAACCGTGTAATTGATTTATTTTTTAACAAAATAATTAGAACAATACCGCTGAATCAGCCTTCTTTGGTTTTTTGGCATTTTTAGGGAAGATAATGAGTTTGCTCTTATATGTCTTCAAACGTTGAACATTAAGTTGAAGAGATTCAACTGATCGATTTTTGCGTCGGTGGTCAACAGGAATACCAATAGTAAGTGCTTCTTTACGACGAATTCCAGCTTCCTGTTGGTACAACAATAAATTAATTAATTGACTAACATTTTACGATTTTGCCATATTAGTAATAAAATTTTCCGCTCTCCTTTCATTTCACAATGCTCAAAATCCTTCCGATATAACGATTTGTTCAAGATCAAATGACAAATTTCTGATTTTAATATTAAATAAGTAATCGATCCGACCTTGAGCTCATCAAGAGTGAATCCACGACCAGCTCTTAATTTAGTATTATATTTAAGTGTGGGGCATCTTACTGCTGGTCTCAAAAGTTCGACAGGGCGTGGAGCAATTCGAGCGGCCTTATTGATACGATTGAGTCTTCTTCTCTTTTTTCGTCCAGGCTGATCGAACCAAGTCTTAACATGCAACTGCCAATCCTTGTGATAATGAACGTTCGGAATTCGATTATTGTGCTTCATTTTCTCTATTAATTTATTTTAACATCATTTAGTATAAATATTTTTTTTTTTAAAAAAAATTACGGTTGAATTTTTAATAAATTGAACTGTTCTAGGATAAAATTCATAATTCGTATTACTTAATGACGTTATTACTTAAAATAAATTCTCTCTATCATCTGATATATAGTTTCAATGGATGTTTGATAATAAAAACCATACATACCCTCAAGTTCACAAGGATGTGAGAGAAAGAATAAAATTTAAAATAAAAATTTTTTATATTGAAGAAATTTTGATGTGATAATATGATGTCACATCAATCACGTGATACAGGCACGAATTATATAAATCATAAATTCATGATTTTTACGATTTCATAACTGTTTATAGCCGTTTATTAAAAATGTCCAGTCCTGAAGAATTATCACTAGAAAAATTAACCATTTCTGATCAGCCTCCCAGCGTTTCTAAACGCCAAATGCTTATTCTTTACGGCAGCCAAACTGGATGTGCCCAAGATGTTGCTGAGAGGATATCAAGGCAAGCAAGGAGACGTCATTTCGCAGTCAGGTTATACTCGATGGACGAATATGACAGGGTAAATTTTTACTACTTGAGATAGCGAAGCCTTTTTTGTTATTGATTGAAATTAATCGATTATTGTACTTTATTAGGAAAATTTAATTAATGAAAATTTAGTAATTTTCTTTTGCTCAACGACTGGACAAGGTGATGAGCCAGATAATATGAAAGTATGTTCTGAATTTGATACTAGAACATCAGTAGCATATAGCATTTTATTTTAATTACTATGAAATAAAATATTATGTTGAATTTTGTATAATTATGTAGAAATTCTGGAAATTTTTATTGAGAAAAAATTTGCCAAGAGACATTTTGAATCAAATGAAATTCACAGTCTTTGGTCTTGGTGATTCCTCATATATAAGGTACGTTAAACATATGGCCAATGGGCGTCATTTAACGCGTTGATCAATCAATGACGGTTTCTGTTTCATAAGGTACAACTGGCCCTCCAAAAAGCTTTATAAACGTCTTTTACAGTTAGGTGCTCAAAGTATATACCCGCGTGGAGACGGAGATGATCAACATTATCTTGGGTTAGTTTTAAACTGCAAATTTCAGATTTATCACGAAATAATCAATATATCCTTAATAAACGTCACAATTAATTTCTATTTGTACAAAAATAATTTTCTTTTCCGTTCTTCCGTGCGTTTTGTCCTCTTTTTTTTCATTTTATATATGTGGGTTTGCATTGCAAAAAAATAATATGATTGCAGTATAGATGGAACACTTGATCCTTGGCTAGAAGGATTGTGGAAAGTTTTAATGGAAATGTATCCATTACCATCCGGCCTCGATGTTTTGCACACAGATGTTTTATATCCTTCATTTCAGTTTCCTAGACTCTTATGCATGTAAATCACTAATATATTAGTCCTTGATTGTCTACTAATTCTTTACACCAGCAAGTTTTCACATTGAATTTGTCGATCTAGATAGTGAGAACATTGCGAACCATGATAAAATTTACGCGCGTTTAGTTAAAAATGAGCGTATCACCGCACATGACCATTATCAAGATGTTCGTCATATAGAATTTAATATAAATTCTTCTGATTTTAAGTAAGTTACGCGTAGATTGACTAATATTTTCACAGATAAACATATTAATAATATATGATCGACTTATAGATACGAACCTGGTGATGTTTTAGTCGTTCGTCCGAAAAATATACCTGAAGAAGTAGATGAATTTATTAAGATGATGGATTGGGAAGAAATTGCAGATAAAGCATTTAAACTTGTTTCTAAATATGAAGGTAAATTGTACTGTTAGAAATAAATAATGACATTTTTGTCTACATTTTATATCTGTTAACAATAACAATATATCATGTAGATCGAAAAGTGCCTGCACATTGGGATTCAGTACTTACACTAAGGAAAATGTTTGAAAATTACTTGGACATTTTTAGTACCCCACGTCGATCTTTTTTTGAATTCTTATCATTTTTTACTACAAATGAGGATCATGCAGAAAAACTAAAAGAGTTTTGTTCTGCTGAGGGTCAAGTTCGTGATTTCATTTCAACATTTTTTATTACAACTCAATATAATGTATTTGAAAATCATTTAGGATGATCTATATACGTATAATCAACGTGTTAGGCGTATGATAGTAGAGGTTCTGCAGGATTTTCCATCAGCTAAAATTCCATTAGAATATATACCTGATATGTTTCCGGAATTAAAGCCAAGACAATACTCAATATCATCATCTTCAAAAGTTCATCCAAGTCAAATTCATTTAACTGTAGCAATAGTTCAATATAAAACTAGATTACAAAAACCCCGCAGAGGTGTATGTACAAAATGGATGTCTGGACTAAGACCAGGTGAGACAATTTCTGTCTTTATGCATTATCAAATGGCAAATAATAACTTTTTTATGGATTTATTAATATAGGAGCATGCGAAATTCCTGTTGTAGTTACACGAGGAACTATGCGATTACCCATTTCAGTATCTACCCCCGTTATTTTCATTGGACCAGGTCCGTAATTTCTCTTCAAATTTCGAAACTTTCAATAATTTAAATTTACAAATTAGATTCGTTTAGGAACTGGAGTTTCTGTTATGCGAGCTTTCATAGAAGATCGTATACATGAAGGCGCAACGGGCATGTATTATCTCTTTATTAAATATGTCTTGATGAAGACTTTTGAAATAATTGTAAATTTCTTTTGTAGAAAATTATTTATTTTTCGGTTGTAGGTATCATGATAAAGATTTTTATTATCAAGAACAATGGAATCGTTATGCTGATGAAAAAAAACTAAAATTATTCGCAGCCTTTTCTCGAGATCAAGTAAGAATATTCTTATAGCGATAATTTATTATTTAATATTATTTAATGTAATTTATTAATATTCAATCTGGTTTAAGGATAAAAGAATTTATGTTCAACATATTTTAAGAGATCATGCAAAATTAGTTTATGATATTTTAGATCGAAGAGGCCATGTTTATATATCAGGGTATGCGATAATTTGAACGAATAAATCCAGAAATTATCTATTTAGTTAATCATATTTGTTTTTATATTATAGGAGATCCGATAACATGCCTAATGATGTTAGGAATGCATTTAAATCTATATTAATATCTGAAGGTAAAATGACTGACGAAGAGACTGAAAAATATATGATCAAAATGGAGAAAGAAAAAAGATATCAACAAGAAGTTTGGTGATTCCTCATGATAATTTAATTTTTAACAAGACTATTAATTTATAAAAAACTTTATTTATTTATAAACTGTTATTCATCAAGGAAACTTATTTTCTTGTTGCAATACATACATACGTGTTCTTTCTTTAGAAATTAAAAACTGTATCCAACATAATTGTTTGTTTAACGTCCAGTATTTATGAAAAGTTTGAGGGAGGAGGGGGATTTACAGTAAACAAACTAAGCGAAATAAACATGAAAATCGCAGTTAAATTTATTTAAACATAATATTATTATATGTTTATTTGAATGGCCTAATTGCTTATAAAATAAAAATATATCATGTGTGTAACTGATGATCATTAAGAATTAATTCTTTTCATGCTCCAACACTTTTGAGTTTTTACGTTTGTTATAGCTGTTATTTCAATGGTTGGTTGTATTTGACTTTAAGAGTTTTTCTTTCTATACTATTTCGAGAAATTGTATACTAAAGAAACTTTTATTTTCAGAGTCTCTTTAGCTTCAGCGCGCCAGTTGATATTGATATTCGTTTTAATGGAGAAGAAAATAGAAAATTGGTGGAAGTTAAGGTTGATAGAGATCGCCGCGAAAGATTTCCTCTATACTTTGATGGCGAAACCGTAGCGGGCCGAGTAATTAATTATTATTTAATTAATATATTTTATTGTTATTATTGAACTAAAAATTTTTAATTAAAATAAAGGTAACTATTAGACCTCGTGATGGAAAGAGGCTGGAACATCAAGGAATTAAAATAGAATTTGTGGGGAATATCGGTAATTCTATACATTACGTATCTTTCGTCATACAGTTGTTATTTGTTTCATAACTTCATTTTTAAAATATTTCAGAACTTTTCTATGATCGAGGTAATCATTACGAATTCGCTTCCTTAGTGCAGGAATTAGCAGTACCTGGTGAAATGCGTCAACCACAATTTTTTGACTTTGAATTCAAAAATGTCGAAAAACAATATGAGAGTTATCATGGAATAAATGTCAAATTGAGATATTTCGTTCGTGTAACTATTTCAAGGCGTTTAACTGATATTGTGAATGAAAAGGATATATGGGTTTATTCATACCGTATGCCGGTAGAAGGAAATAGCTCTATCAAAATGGAAGTTGGTATTGAAGACTGCTTACATATTGAATTCGAATACAATAAGTCAAAGTAAGCTTTAAGCATATGAATTTATTTCATGATTTTATATTATAATCATTGTAAATCAAAAATTACATCGTTATATTAGATACCATCTTAAAGATGTAATTGTAGGAAAAATTTATTTTCTACTTGTTCGCATAAAAATTAAACATATGGAATTGTCAATTATTCGTCGCGAAACGACTGGTGCAGGTAATTTAGAAATATGAAACTTTGGGTGAAATTTAATAATAAAATACTAACTTTTTTAATTCATGTTCAGCTCCAAATCAATATAATGAAAGTGAGACAATTACTAAATTTGAAATTATGGATGGTGCTCCGGTACGCGGTAAGCTTATGACCGTTTTATAACTTACAACTTTACTATTTTTTATTAATTATTTTGTTAACTATAGGTGAAACAATTCCCATTCGCCTCTTCCTTGGAGGTTTCGAATTAACCCCAACTTTCCGTGATGTAAACAAAAAGTTTTCCACACGTTATTATCTTAATCTTGTACTTGTTGACGAAGAAAATCGACGATATTTTAAACAACAAGAGATTACGATTTACAGAAGAAAAAGTAAGTTGAAATTTTATTTATTTATTTTTTTTGGAAATATTGATTTTAATAATCTATTTATATTATATTATAGTTGATGATGGTATAGACGATGGCCAAGAATAGTTTTGTAGAATATTTTTGGGATTAAATGGATTAAATTAATTTTTATGTATAACTTATTTTTTCCTGTTTAATTTGTTTAATTAAAATTCTCTAATATTTAAATCATGTGTATATGTAAGTACTTAAATAAATAAATTTGCTATATGATTTGTCATTCATAGAATAAATTTGTCATGTGCACATGATCAATATAGAGAGCATGTGATTTTTAAATTGACTGCGGCTGAATTAATAATTTATAAACCACATTAAAGCCTCTCTTTCCTTTAAAAAAAAATAAAAGGTCTTATCTTAATTATTCACCATCCGATTTCCTTTTTCTCATTTTTTTTCTCTTTCTATCTGATTTTGTGTCGTTTAGCTATTCAAAAGATAGCACAAACGTTACAAAATATAATTTAGAAACTGAGAAACAAAATACCGAAGGTAAGAGTTATGAAATTAAGACAAATATGTTTGATGAGGCCGTAGAAAAGCTTGCTAACAATAGCTTGTAAATGTGTGTATATATAGATATAGAGAAACGAGCTTTAATATAAAAGTTTCGTGTACTCAATCAACACTTTACACACTTTTACTACACAAACTATCTTTACAACTCAAACAAAGGTAAAGTATAATGTATTTACTAGAATAGTTCAAAAACAATAATTATATGTTAAAATGATGTATTGGCCCTATGTAATAGGCAGGAGAGATATTACATATAAAAAGCTTATGTACAGATTATTTTATCATTATTTTAATGATGTCTTATTACATTAGAATAAATGGCAAATATTCCTTTCCCACGGCTTCAACCTACAACGGAGCAGGGGCCTAAAGCAATTCTACCAGACCTTAATATTCGTTTAGTATGCCCAGATTGTAAAAATCCTGTACCAAATATTATTGAAGAATTTGCTAATGGTGATTTAGTATGTGGAGATTGCGGTTTAGTTCTCGGTGATCGTATAATTGATACCAGGTCTGAATGGAGAACCTTTGCTAATGACGAAGGTGATGATCCTTCTCGTGTTGGTGCTGCTGCAAATCCACTTCTTGATGGTGCGCAATTAGATACTGTCATTTCAAGAAGAGATGGTGGGTCAGGAATGGCCAGAGACCTTAATAAAGTTCATGGAAGAGCAAATGCAGTAAAGGGAGAGAAAAATCTTATTCAAGCATATAAAGAAATCGCCGCAATGAGTGATGCTATTGGCCTAACAAAATTAATTGCTGATATAGCAAAACAATTATACAAGAGAGTTGAAGAAGAAAAACTTTTACGTGGTAAAAGTACTGAATCAATTATTGCCGCTTGTATCTTTATTGCTTGTAGACAAGAAAATGTACCACGTACATTTAAGGAGATATGTGCTATTACACGAGTCCCTAAAAAGGAAATCGGAAGATGTTTTAAAACTTTGATTCGTACTTTTGAAACAAATGTATCGACAATGGCTTCAGAAGATTTGATGTCACGTTTCTGTTCCATGTTACATCTTCGAATGGAAGTTCAAAAGGCAGCTCTTGATCTTACTATGAAAACAAAAGAACACGGTACTTTAGCTGGTAAATCTCCTGTATCTGTTGCGGCGGCTTGTATCTATATGGCTTCTTGTTTGTATCAGCAGCCTCAGTCAACAAGAGACGTTGCTCAAGTTACTGGTGTTTCTGAAGTAACAATTAAAAATTCTTACAAGTTACTTTGGACTGAAAGAGAAAAGTTACTTGATGAAAAGAAATATGGCGGATTTGAAAACTTACCATCTCCCTAAAGATATATTTACTACTTTCTTTATCGTTTTATCTCATATGATAAATGAACGACATATATTCTTTAAATCTTATGCTTTGCTCTAGTTTTATGGATTTTATACATCAAAATTGATGGATATTACAAAACGAAGCGAAATTAACTGGTCTGTCAAAGTTTGGATCGACTTTAATATGGATTTTCACTTCGTATAAGGGATATTTTATTTGGATTTTGAATTTGGACTATAATAATATTATTCTATTGGATAAAAAAAAAAAAATATAATAGATTTTTTTTTTATCCGAGGAATTAATTATGAACAATATTTTTATTTGGTTCATTAGTCATAAAAAAGAGTAAAACATCATAAAAAATGATTAAATATTATGTACTTGTTTCTCTCTTAGTGTGATGTTTCGAAATCACATATTTAGTCCTGGACTCTTTTTTTTTGAATAAACATTGAACTTGCATCATTTTTTTTTTTTTTAAAAAAATATTGCTTAATATTTATTGCTTTTTTATCCTCACTTGAAATATGTACTCATCAAAATAACATATACTAACTCACTATTATAAAGATCTATCGCCGATGGATATAACAAAATAAAAACAAGATCATATAAGTGAATAAGATTTATTAATTATAACTAATTGAAATGTAAAATATGGTATTTATGTGGTTGTTGGAGCAGGATTCATCTGATTTTTTTAAAAGAAAAATTTCATTTAATAAATATAATTGATTCGTTTTAAAAAATAATATTATTTAATGTAATTGACATTTACCCTTCGTTTTCCACCGATCATATTGGTTACATTAACAAATCGACGATTATATAAAATACGTTTTTTAGCTCGACCAGCCTTCTTTTTTTTCTTTTCTTGTCTTTCAACTTTAGGAGTTTGAGATTTAACTTTACCAGCACGAGCGAGCGATCCATGAACTTTACCCTAATATAGAATATTCTTGTTCAATAAACAAATACATATATGTTTCAAACACAGTAAAAGTTTAAATACCATCTTGACGGATTTATATACTTTTCTGTTAAAAAAAAAGTCAAAGGAGTAATGTGTAAGACAAAAAAAAAAAAATCAAAAATCAAAAAATTTTTAGAATTTGATTGGATATCTCAAATTCCTCTTTATTATCACAGTGATAGTAATCATTATAAAAAATTACATGTTAAGTAAATTAATTTATGTAAATAAAAATTTATTACATGATTATCTAATAATGTTACATGAAAGAATTAAAATCTAATACGACTCTATTATTAATAATTATTCAACAAATCTCCATATTCTAACAATTCCATCATCTCCAGCTGTTGCCAACCAATTAGAATGCTTTTCAATAGGATACCATTGTATGCAATTAACATCAGCGATTCCGTGAGCAGAAGAAACTGAAGTAACTAATGAAAAATTTGGTGAATTTATGTCATCTTGAGACGAACTGTCCTGTTCAAATACTCTAATAACATTATCACCACTTCCACTAGCGACGCGTCCATGAACTTTTGACCAGCTCACGGAATAAATACAACGCGAATGATGCCCACTTAACGTATGCACGCATTTCCATTTAGGGTGAACTCGATATGTATCCATCCCTTCTTGATTATTATTAGGAAAACTTTTCCAGAATTTAATTGTTTTATCATCTGAAGCGGACACTTTAATAGGCGATAATAAAAAAATTTATATGAATTCTTTCTACGTAAACATTTTGTCAATATTAAGCACATACCTAAATAATCACCAGTTTTATCAAAATCAATAGCCCAAACTGTACTTTCATGTCCCTCCAATGTATCTGAGCAATACCAATCATCGTCATCATCTCGCCATATTTTTATTGTATCATCATAACTTGCCGATGCCAATAACTTATAAATTATCAATTAGTATAAATGGATTACATTCTTGTAGTTAAAAAAATGTAGCTTACTTCATGGGTTGGATGCCAAATAACCATTTTTACATCTTGTGTATGTTCTTGCAAAACCGATAGACATTCAAAATCATTATCTTCCGCCGCTTTTTAGATTATAAATTGTTTGTTAGTGCGAGAATAAAGTTAAAAATATAATAGGAAGATAACCACCTTCCCATATCCAAACGCTTTTATCACGGCCACATGTAGCAAGTAAAGAACCTGACGAAGACCACGCAACCGATTTTGTTTCATTTTCGTGACCTTCTAATGTTGCGACACATTCATAATCTGACCCATATAAATAAAAATTAGTAAATCCATTAAATCCATTGAATGAAGAATGAATTTAAATGTATTAAATGTATTATATTTTTACCTCCACCATCTCCTCGTTCCCATATACCTGTAAGTGCATCAAAGCTAGCAGTTGCAAGTTGGCGCCCGTCCAGACTCCATGCAACACTTCGTATCGTCCTTTTATGAGCTCCTTCTAAAACATGTGTACAAGTCCATTCTGAAGAATCATTTTCAGAAGTTGGTACCCATAGACGTACAGTTTTATCTCCTCCACATGAAGCTAGAACATCTCCTGTAGGTGACCATGCAACAGACCAAACTCGATCGGTATGTCCTATATACAAAAATTACAAGGAATTGTTGAGTTTATCCTTCATAGACAACTGTTAAACAAATTATTGCACCTTTCAATTCAGCGATTTGTTCTAAATTTGGAGACATTTCTTTCTAGAAAATAAGTGAACCCTACATCATATTATTGATTATCTTGATAATGCGCAGCATTTTCATATCACTATTTGGTGAGTACAGCATTTATGATTATCTATAACGGAAAAACCTGGTAATTATGAGTTCACAACATTTTATTCCACCCTTGGTACGTGTCAGTCATTCGGAACGATAAATTCGTTTTTTTCGCAACTTATACGTTTCGCGTTTGTTGTTTTAGAATTATGGCATGATAGAGGAGGACCTTTATAGATCAGGTCAACCGAATGAACTTAATTTTCCTTTTTTGGAAAAATTAGGTTTAAAAACTGTTGTTTGGTTAGCTCCTGAAGAACCGAACCAAAGATTGTGAGTAAAATAATCTGTTATTCGCATAAATATGTTTAATCTGATTTATCTCTTAATCATTAGTTTAAATTTCATCGATGATCAAGACATAAAATGGCAACATCTTGGTGTAATGTCTTCAGTAAATGCTTTGGATCCAATTACTGAGGAAGTTGTATTAGCAGCGTTAGAAATAATTTTAAATCCTCGTAATCATCCAATGACTGTAATGTGTAACTTAGGAAGGCATAGAACAGGTACTGAAAGATATTTGAATTTCATGCTATTCTTTGAAATTAATTTTTTCGTTTAAATAAGGTACGATAGTAGGATGTCTTCGTAAACTTCAAAAATGGAATTTAACATCAATTTTTGAAGAATATCGTCGATATGCTGGTCCAAAAGTTAGGGTATTAAATGAACAGTTTATCGAATTATTTGATACAGATCTAGTGAGAGTTCCCGTTAATAGACCAAAATGGTTATAAAAATAAATGTAACTCTATTTTTAATATTGAAAGTATTGAAAGATATCTTTCGCAATTTTGTATTTTTACCATGAACATTTAAAATAAACACAGGAATATATATATATATATATATTATGAAGCTTTAAATTTTTTTTTTTTTTTTAATAATTATCCATTTTATTATCGGAAAATAATAAAAAGAAACGAAAACAAATGTTCTTCCAATACATATAAAAGAACAACATCAGAAGAAACAAAATAATATCAATATAATCAAAGGACTAAAAATATAATAGAAAAAAATTATTGCTTCCTATCTGTTTGCCCCAAACTGTTCAGAATAACATTGACTAAATAATACTTTATATAAATAAATATATATGTATATGATAAAGGGGAAGGGAATTTTTTAATTCTAAGAGCTAGAATTATGAGTCGAAGAGGAGAAAGGAATAAAAAAAAATATAATAAAAAGGAAAATAAAACGATGGAGCATGGAGCATGAAAGCAAATGTAAAAAGGTATTAAAAATAACATACCAAACTAAACTAGAAATAGCCACATAATATTGCTATACACCATAACTAAATATAAAGTTGTTTACTAGAAAATTTAAGGAACTAAAAAGAAAAAGACAAACTTTATTATCCAACAAGAAAATATCTAAATGCTTCCTGCCTATTTTAATCATCGTTCTTCTTCTCATCACCGGAAACAACAGGAGCTTCAGACTTTTCAGCATCATCATTAGTTTGAACTTGTTGATCGCTCAACGCAACTTTAATGACCAATACTCTGCCTTCTGATTCAACGTTTTTTAATCCTTCAAGGGCTTTACGTTGTTCTTCTTCATTAGCCAATTCAACGAATCCAAAACCCTTTGAACGTCCGGTACGACGATGAACGACGTGAGCTGAGGTTACGTTATAATCTTTGAAGATTTCCTTCAAACCTTCATCGTCGATAGAAAATGGAAGATTTGCAACAAAGACATGAGTTTTGGATGGTTCACCAGTTTTTGTAATATGATTAGGGCGACGACGAGGGAAACCACGACCTCGGCCACGTCCTCGACCACGTCCGCGGCCACGAAACCAACCTCCCCGTCTTTTAGGGCGTTCATTTTCGGTTCCATTTGCAGTTGGGGTTTCGGCAGTGGTGACCGCTGTATTATCATTAGCTTCGGTATCGCCGCCAGTGTCTCTAGCAGCGAAACGACGACGGCCATACTATAGTTGGAAAATAAAATTGTGAAAAATAAAATTGTAAATTTAATGTAAATGAAACACGTAAGATAGAAGAAAGTATATGAATTCCTTACCCATCCACGGCCTCTTCCTCGTCCACGGCCCCTACCACGTCCTCTTCCTCTACCACGGCCCCTCCATCCTCCCCGACCACGACGAGGAGCAGGAGCAGCACCTTCAGCTTTGGGCTTGGCAACTTCTACATTGATTTGACGGCCATCTAATTCTTGTTTATTCAATTCATCAACTACTTTCTTTGCGTCTTCTTCTGTTTCAAGAGCAACAAAACCATATCCTAAAGAACGTGTGCCACGAGTAATAATGTTGGCCTTTACACTAAATATTAATAAAAATAGAGAAAAGTTAGTTAATAGTGATATAGTCTTAATCATAAGAATATTTATTAAAGTAACAAATTTACTCACACTTTGCCGGTTTTATTAAAAAAATCGGATAATGCTTGTTCACTTGTTGAGAAAGCTAAATTTCCTACAAAAACTTTGTATTCATCTTGTTTAGTTTCTTCCTTGTTACTAACTTCAACAGAGGTTTCTTCAACATTATTCTCATTAGCTAAAGTCACAGCTTCAGTTACTTCTGGCTCCATTATCTTTGTATTGAACTTTTATGACACGTGTATATTAAAATATTACTGTGGATATTTTTTATTATCTATTTGAAGGGTTCGGGTCAGATGTGCCTGATGTAACTTTTGTTTGGGTCGTTAAAATAAAAAATTCCCTTCTCACTTCCAATCTACCTAATACTAGAAGGGAAACTTATGAATCCAGGTTGGATGCCTATTTGGACTTTGACGGACTGAAGGCTCCTTCGATTTTAATAAGTCCAACTAAAGGGCTAGGACAATTAATTTTGACGGATGAACAGATGCTTCGTTTGCTTGCAAGTTATAGCAAAAAAAACTTGGTAACATTAGAAATTACTCAAAATTGCACCAAAAAATAGTTTTCTCCTCAATACTGTGTAACCATTGGATCCCATGAGGCGATGGCGCTTTTGTTGTACGAGAGTCCCACACATCCGAAACAATTCCGCCTTTATCTATTATCAGATCGGTCATTTTTATCCAATGAAAGAATTAAAATTAGTGATTATAAAACAATCCAAAAGGAAATGAGTCAATGCTAAATAATCAGATCAACAAATGATATGCGCAGTATTGAATAAAATAAAAGTTGCACTAATAAAGCACGGGACAGATCTTTTTCAACATTCAAAATGGCATCTATTGTTTATCAGCCAAATTACCCTGAAAGCCTTTCATACTGCGCGTAGTGTAACTATTTATTATTAGAGTTGTAACTATTTAGAATTGTACAAAAATGCTTTGTGTAAAGGAAAAAAATTTTTATCAAAGAAACTTGTTTTAAGACTTGATTATACAAAATTTTTCATTCTTAAAGCATTAAAAATGGAATCCGAAATGACAATCAAAGTCTTGATTTGAATCAACAGCTTCGGAAGTTCGGATTATCCTTTTTTGAATTTAGGGATAAAATTGTCTTTATACAAGTTTAAAAACCAATGAAAAATGTCAATTCCGCCAACACGTCGAATCCTTTTAACTTTATTTACCTCAAAATCATGTTCACTTTGTGTTAATGCAAAAGATGTCATTAAGCATGTTCAAAAAAGAGTAAATATATTGGTTAAAATTTTTATAAATTTAATTAAACCATACTTACAAATATAATTTTGATTAGATTCCTTTCGATTTTGAACAAAAAGACATAAAGGTCCCGGAGAATTTAAGTTGGTTTGAAAAATACAAGTATGATATTCCAGTTTTACATTTAAACGATCAATTTATATTAAAACATAGAGTTGAACAAGATGAGTTGGAAAAGATTTTACGTAAATTTAAAGAAACTGGTATTGTAGATCAAAAAAATTAATCCATATTGATAATACGCTTAGATAAATTTGGCAATTTAGAGATTTATAAACGTGATTTATTGAGTCAATGTCTTTAAACATCGAAATCGTCATACTCCTCAATCTCAACCTCCTCGCTTTCATTCTCTTCAAATATATCTGAATTATCCAAATCTTCAAATGAAGAAAACGTTCCCTCATCATCTTGTTCGAAATCTTTATTAGATACGGAAAAATTATTAACCAATTCTCCAAAAATGAAAGTCTGTACATATATTATCGTTACCTTCTTGCGATCTTTGCATTGCTTGCAGATTGCGCATTAACTCGTCAACCTACAAATAGATCAACTCGAATGTATATTTTATGTTTTTTACGTATTAAAATAATTTGAAATTTAATCGCTTATTCTTACTCTACTTATTATTTGTTCATCTTTCGACTCACTATCGATATCACTTATCCCTTCTTCATCTTCACCACCATCCTCATTTTCTGACTCATCATCATGTGCATTCAGCAAGTCGTCAAAATCCTCGTCCTTTAATATTTTACCTTCAGTTAATGCTTTAAACTTTCGTCTCATAACTTTTCTCATTTTTATTAATTCGCTATGTTTATAAAATCCATCGTGTTCCTTAATAATTATTATAAAAAAAATGTTTATTTGATTCGTAATTTGTAAAATGAAAACTAAGCTTCGTACTGACATCACAAAATTCCTGAACAGAATCAGATGACTCAATGAGCCTTTTTAACAAGGGATCAGTTATGTCACACACTTGGAAAACCGCAATATCTCGACATGTTGAAGTCCCATCAAAGATATGGGAAGGTCGTGAATCGCTGTTACAAAATAATTAGCTCTATAATAAGATCCAACAAATAAATAACTATAAATCTTACCCGGATTTTGCTGTGCTATCCTTTTCTACTGTAGCTTCTTCCTGTATGTGAAGCAACCGTTTAGCTCGCCCAAGTTTTGTAGGTCTTCGAGTATTTCGGATGTCTAGCAGTTGATAACTAAACAAATACAAGTGTCAGAAATTTGCGACTAATAAAAATAAGTAATCGACATAAACAACATATGTTTACAATCTTGCTTCTTTATTTTTATTCAATCGTGGATCGTATCCATAACGAATCCAACAATCACGCCATGGGCCGTTTGACATCAAATATGCGACTAAAGGCAACAACCTATAAAATGCGTGTAACATATGAGAATAATAGCAATTAAATACTTTAAAAGAAAGTGAAATAAATACCTCTTGATATTTCTTTTGTCATTTAGAGGCAAGTTATTTTCTAATGCGAGCCTCGTCCATATTGGACGTTCTTCAAATAACTAAAAATGTTTAAACAAACTAATCTTGTATAGGTTTAATAATCATACCCTTTTAATTACTTACTTTACGCATTCCATTTATACTTTCTTGAGGCATTTGTTCAATATTTTTTAAGGATTCTGAAGGTGGTTCTTCAGGAACATGTGATGGAATGTTAAGGAACTAACAAAAATGTATGACAAATGCTGCATAAAATCAAGGATATTATCAATATCATATGTAATCGATATTGCTATAAACTTTTTCCTACGGCTTCGATTAATAAGCTTAAGGGAAGGTGGCTTGATTGAAAGAAATAGTTGCAAATTAATATAATATTAAATAATCGAATTAATATATTAGATTACCTGACCATCGCCTTTTTTAACCAACACTTTGACAACAGCAGTATTCTGTTGATACCTGTTGAATTGTTGATATAGTATGATTAATATGAGTTATGAGACTAGTATTCAACGGACGTATATAAAATACCCATAATCCATTGGACATTCTACGCGTGAGAAAGAAGGGGGCGGCAAATTTGTTTCTTCTTTTATATTATTTATGATAGATTCAAAATCCATTATTTTATTGACTGGATAATTTATCGAATAAAATTATTATTTTATCTTTCAACTAAAGATGCTTTAATATTCGCGTATCTCTCGTACCATTCAAAGATTCAAGTGCCTTTCTGTATTCAAGTATAGGATGGTTCATGTTTGGGACATATTGATAGTCAGACATTCCTCGGAATCGACAAGTTTTACTTATAATTCCCAATATATCAAAATTAACATCATCTTTTACACTAGTTTTCTCTTCTTCGTGATTCACAGTTTTATTTTGTTTTTTCTTGCGCCGTGTCACTTTAAGCAAAAGATTCGATGTTGGTATAACATCTCCGTTAATAGGATGACAAAAAGGATCATCAGGTCTAAATCGAAGTTCCATAAGATCTTCATTTATAGCCTTTAACGAAAATCCGATTAAATTTTAATGTATTGTTCTTATTGTTTAATTAATTTTTACCTTTTTAAGACCTTTTTCACTGCCTAGCGTATGCAAAACTTTATTAATATTTTTTATATAACCGGGATATTCAATAACAAAAATTTGTTTTGGGGGTATATTTTTGCTAGGAGCAGCTTCATAACCGAAATATAAATCCTCGTTCTGTTTAGAATTTGACTCCATGATATTAAAATATTAGGTCTGCTTGCGATATTATGATCACAAGCCACTTAAACTTTGTGTGATCTGCAAATCTTGTGCAACCTATCGTGCAATAATACATGTAACACTGACAAAAATGTCTTAACAATGGGATTTAGGACTTAATAATCAAAGTCAAGCGATCAACAATAAAAAAAATAATGTTTTTTGTATAAAACGTTATAAAAATTTTGATTTGATAAAATTTTCGTATAGTGATTTTCCTTGATCAGAGAGTTTATCACAATCACGTGATTTATATCACGATTTGTATCACTTGAGATCCACAAAACATGTCCGTCTTTGATTTCTAATTTTTTTTATTCACTCCGTTTCTTGTACAGAACTCATAGATTTTTACTCTTCCACATGTCTAATAAACAAGCACTTAATGTAAAAGACGCCTTATCGTATCTGGATCAAGTCAAGATTCAGTTCTCTGATAATCCAGATGTTTACAACAGATTTCTTGATATTATGAAAGATTTCAAAAGTCAAGCGATCGATACTCCTGGAGTCATTGAGCGAGTCTCAACATTATTTAAAGGACATCCAGCTTTAATTCAAGGTTTTAATACTTTTTTGCCTCCTGGATATCATATTGAGTGTTCAACGAACCCTCATGACCCTGATTCCATCAGAGTTACAACGCCTGCTGGAACAACTACTTCGACCATAGGACCTCTAGATTCTCATCATTTACAATCGGGAGTACCTAATTATCATTTGTCTTATCCTCACCCACCACCTGCCTCAATGATGCCGTTACCACATCAACAAGGACCTTCTTTGCAGCCGCAACCGGTCCCTTACCACATTGGTTCACCAGTAGGGCAACCAGCTAGCCAATCGACTTCGCAATCAGTTGGACAATCGGTTGGTATTAACGCTCCGGGAAGTTCATCACCAAACTCGCAACAAAGTAATGGTAGAAAAGGACCCGTCGAATTCAATCATGCGATAAATTATGTTAATAAAATAAAGGTGAACAATCTTTTTACATCAACAACTATCGATTTTGTTTATTTGCAAAAAAAAAACAAAAAAATTAATTCTACACTTCATATCATAAAGAATCGATTTTCGACGGACCCAGATACATACAAGCAATTCTTAGAGATATTACAAACTTATCAAAAAGAGCAGAAACCAATTCAAGAAGTAGTCATATTAGTGTTTTTTATTCATATTTATTTGTTATTTTTAAAATGATTAATATTGACAAAATTTATAATGTTATAGGTATATTCACAAGTTCAGGTTCTTTTTAAGAATGCACCAGATCTTCTGGAGGAATTTAAACAGTTCCTTCCGGATAATTCCGGTAACTATCCTTCGGGCATGTTATTTAATGCTTTATCTCAAAATGCACTTAAACCGCCACATCTTATACCTCCTATTAATCCCTTGTCGAATGGAGTTTCTGGTTAGTAGTACAAATTAATTTAACATTTTTATTCTGTTAATTTTACGAATTATCTTTGATTTTATCGTTTAGGTCATGCCAGACTACCACCGGTCGGTAGTTTTTCTCAAACGACTACTTCAATGTCCAATGATCCATACAAGAAATCTACAGCAGGAAGCTCAAGTTCAGTTGTTAATAATCCTTCAGGACAAGCCGTTGTGGGTTCTGTAGGATCTTCAAGTATGCCCAAGAAGAAAAGATCAGCTCTCCCTGGCTCTGATAGAAGCCCTAGTAGTATGTTATCTAACAAGGTAAGAAATTTTGTTTTGATAGGGGATATTAGTTTTTAAATTAATTAAGTTGATTTTCCTTTTAGTCAAAAAAATCGAAATTACTTCATAAACCGCCCAATGATCAAGTTCAGCCCAATTCATCACTAATACCTGTTAAAATCGAACCTACAAAAGTATCGGATAAACAACCACCTGCTTCGCCTGAGGAATTAATGTTCTTTGAAAAAGTCAAAAAGTATATCGCGAATAAGCATAGTTATAATGAATTCCTTAAACTTATCAATCTTTACAGTCAGCAAATCTTGGACACATATTCACTCGTCAAAAAAGTGCAAAATTTCATAGGTCAAAATACTGAACTATTTGAATGGTTTAAACAATTTGTCAAGTATGACGAAAAGGACGAGATTGTGCAGAACACTGCTAATTCCAGACCACGTGTGGATTTGGAAGGATGTATTTCATATGGACCAAGTTATCGTCAATTACCACCACAAGTAAGATTTTTATAGCTTGTTTTTTGAGTTGGATTTTATTTAATAACGCTTGAAATTATTGTTATTAGGAGGCTAATTTGCCCTGTACTGGTCGCGACGAATTATGTTGGGAAGTTTTAAATGATAAATGGGTATCCCATCCTACATGGGCCAGTGAAGAGGCCGGGTTTGTTTCGCATAAAAAAAATCAATTTGAAGAAGCCTTACATAAGTGTGAAGAGGAAAGGTTAGTGATATTATTAAAGTATAGTTTTATAATCTGTGTGTCAGATTCATGAATTTTAAATTATTTAGATATGAATATGATATGTTCATTGAAGCAAATCAACATACTATCGCTTTATTGGAACCTATCGAGAGAAAAATACAACATAAAATGTCTGCTGAAGAGAAGGTTAAGTTTAAATTGGAGCCTGGCTTGGGCGGAAAGTCAATGATTTATCAGAGGGTGATTAAGAGAGTTTATGATTTCGATAAAGGTGCGGACGTGATCGAAGCATTACATAACAATCCAGCTACAGTAGTACCGGTAGTATTAAAGCGATTGAAACAAAAAGATGAAGAATGGAAACGCGCTAGGGTACGAGATATAGCTAACTATTAACTTTATTTTATATATATAGCTTACTTATCAATGTATATTGCGTATTAACAGAGAGAATGGAATAAAATATGGCGTGAAATTGATGCCAAGAATTATTATAAATCTCTCGATCATCAAGGAATTACTTTTAAGAATGATGATAAGAAGGCACTTACTCCTAAATATTTAATAGCTGAAATAGAAAATCTTCGTCGTGAACCTAATGAAGATGGCGAAATACCAGAATATCAATACAAATTTGTTTTTAAGGATCTTGAAGTGTTTAAAGATGTGGCTCGGATTTTATTTGGATATATGGATCGTTCTGGAACTGTAGCGCCAAGTGATAGAGATAAAATTGAAAAGTTCTTCAAAACATTTATACCCAGTTTTTTTGATATTCCAGCTTCTTTCTTTGATGGAATGAATCATGAAGATTCTTCTATGCTAGTAGATCATGAAGAACCTATTGCAAATATGCCCATGACAATAGATAATGTTGATGCAGATGTTGATAATGGGCCATTATCCTCAGAACCGATAAGCGGCATGTGGATTCAGGTTTCTAAAGAGTCACGTGAAAACATTAGAGCTGTAGTAGCAAATGCTGGAAATGGAAGACTTAAGAAGAAATCTACCAGTTATTTCTTTGGAAACAATGCTTTTTATTGTTTTTTCAGATTTTTACAGGTTAGAACATATTTTATGATAGTAAATAACTATATTGAACTATTACTAACAAATTTATTTTTTTAGATGCTGTTTAGCCGTCTTGAAACAATGAAAGAAGGAGCTCAAGAGAAAGCATCAAATTCTTTGAACAAGGGACAAAATGTTGCCGCAACCGATCTAGGCATTCAAAATAATCGACTTGATCGTAAGTTCGATTCTTAATTTATCAACCGTTAATTCTGGTTCTTACATTTTTTCATTAATTGTAAATATAGCCGAAGTTGATATGGATTTGAATCGTGGCGATCCTTATACAGTAATGCTTGAACTTATCGAAAAACAATTTGATGGTGAAATGGAATTATCAACATTCGAAGAATGTCTTCGTTACATTTATGGTACAAAGGCCTATATAATGTTTACTGTAGATAAACTTGTTCAAAATATGACTAAATATGTATGCTACATTTTTCGTAAATAGGATTTACTTGAAGTTCATAATGTACTTATTTTATTTTATTTATATACAGATGCAAACATTGGTATCAGATTCGAAATCGACTGCCCTAATTAATTTATTTGAGAGTAATAAACAACAACAAGAACAATCGAATGATAGATCGCACATTATGTATCAGTTACACGCTAATAATACAATTGGATATGATGAACATACATATCGAATAGATTACGTACGTTTTTTTCTTTTTCACTTTGTTAAAATGATTATCGCATACTTTATATCTTAACATATAATAATGTAGGACAAAGAAGAAAGAGTTTTGACTATATTGCTGTCTGGCCGCGATTCTTCGTTAGGTAGCGCAGTATCTTCGGAAGAACAATGGGCTTACTACATGTATAGCTATATGTCTTTAAATCCTACTGAAGGTGTTTCAGCTAAAACGGAACGTCCATTTTTAAAGAGGTATAAATAATTAATATTTTTTTTTAAAAAAATTTAATAATTTATTTTACAATTAATTAATCAATATTTACATTTCAAAGAAACTTGCCATCTGTTGAAGGGTCAGAAAGGATATTGCCAAATGTTTTAACTCGAAATGGTTTAGAAATTAAAATATGCATTAATTCATATCATGTATTCTTTGTCAATAATACTGAAGATAGTTTCAGGCGTTTACGTCCTTCAGTACCATCCACAAAACTACAACAGGATACAGTTCGACGACAAGAATTGTGGAATCGTTGGTTAAGATCACGAGATGACGCTGACAGTATGGAAATGTAACAAGAAAATATAAACATATCCAAGTCACGTGACGATGTCATATTTTAGTTATTTGTAAATCAAACACTTTTTTTCTAAAAAATTAATTAACTGTTAAGAATACACTATTTAGCTAATCATTTAGTTCATTTAGTGATTGATAATCACTTTAAAGAATATTTTAATAGTAAATATAATAAAAAATTTTTACATCCATGCATCTGTGCTCAATGTGATCATATGATACACTAAAAAGCGATGATCTCATATTAATTATTACTAGTCAAGTCCATACAAATTTTATAACAATAAACGCTTCTTTAAAGTGAGCTTTAATGCTAATTATTATTCGCTGCGTTATTTCATGACAAATCAAATTTAGCACGTTTATTGTTTATTTATATAAACTTTCCTATTACAGAACAAACTCAGCTTTAAGAAATGGGAAAGAAAAAAAATAAGAAAGTTGTTCGTCCTTGGTGCTGGTAAGTTACGCTTAAAAATTACGCGATTTGTTTATCAAGAAAAAAATTATAATTTATAATTTATCTATAGGTATTGTGAAAGAGATTTTGAGGATGAAAAAGTATTAATCCAACATCAAAAAGCCAAACACTTTAAGTGCCCCCATTGCAATAAAAAATTGAATACAGCGGGCGGAATGGTGGTTCATGTTGCCCAAGTTCATAAAGAAACAATTGACACGTAAGAATTATAATTTCCATAAATATATATAATTTTTGCTGTTAACTTTTTGATGTATTTTAATTTTTATTCCAATTTCAAAGCTCATAAAATATATTTTAAATTAAGGCTAGTTCATAGTGTTATTGTTGAGTTTTTTTATTTAAGTCAAAGTGAAAATATATTTGAAATCTAATTGCTTAATTATTTATTTAATATTTAATCTGATTATAGAGTCCCAAATGCATTGAAAGGACGAGAATCAACGGATGTAGAGATTTTCGGTATGGAAGGAATTCCTCAAGCTGATATGATAGCTCATATGCATGCACTTGAAACTGACCAGCCAACAAAGAAAATTAAAACTGAAGAACCTATGGAACTTTCTAGTGAGGAAATTAAAAAACAACTTGCTCAGCATCAAGCAATGATGCAAAATAGTTCGACAACAGGACAACCTTTCTCTTATTCCAGTTATTCTACCACACAACAAAATATGCCATCATTAATGCCTCACCAATATAGTCAATTTTATCAAAGACCTGGTGTTAATTCAGGGCAAACATATTCACCCGTAACTCCATATCGACCAAAGTAAGTAAAAAATAAAGATTTCACGATTTTATCTTAAATACAAATATAATTACCCATATTTTTTCTTTTAAAGTCAAATTCCTGGACAATCTCTACCAGTTATACCTAGTCAGCCATGGCGTCCCTCAGTGTCGGGTGTTAGCCAACCATTATATGGGCAAATTCAACCAGCTACAACCGGACAATCTGCGATTTATCCATCCCGCCCGGCAAATAGTGTCGCATCCGCATCTCAAATTTATCCGCAAGTTCCGCATGCTACAGTTTCTGGAATGTCTCCATCGGGTCAGCATTCTTATACTGCTTATACTGGAGCATCAGCTACAAATACTACTATTACTCAATATCAAGAGACTGCTCCTACTTCAACAGTTCCTTCTGTAGGTGATACAATGACTTCAAATGAAACCACGACGAATATAATACAATCAAATACCCAACAAACAGCCCAAAAAACAGTGCCGAAAGTTGTATTAGTTTATAGCGATAACGAAGTCTCGATGGTATGTCCATTCAAGTTTAATTAATTTTATTTTATGATAAATCTATACTACGCATATTAATATATTCCTATGTTAATAGGAAGAGAAAAGAGCAGAACTTGAAAAATATAGATACAATGAGGATCAATTCAGACAGCAGGTGCATGCTCTCGATATATCTGTCCAATCACGTGTTGCAAATCTTAAAGGGAGGGTTGTGTGATGGGATATTGGTTTTTTATACGTTGGATCTTACACATTTTATATGCGTATCAGTCCTCAATGTTTTAGATTCACTTCTAGTGTTGGCAGGAACTCTGGTAAGAAAATAAATCCGGTAAGCAGTCAAGACAGAGAAATTGAGGATTTCGTTATATTTCAATCGTTTATGTTACCTTGTGCGTTGTCAAGATTTTTTTCTCGTACCAAGAGATGTACCTTTTTTTTTTATTATTGTAACCTTTTTTTCTCTGTCGGTTGATTAAAAAAATTTTGATTCTTTATCTTCCGACAATTTCATTACTACTTGGTTGGGGTTTGTATATTCTTTGATTCTGTTTATATATTACTAGATATATATATTTTTTTCTATAAAAAAAAAAATTTTATTGTACAACTATACCAGGAATTTTAATCTATTTTATCAGGTTGGTTAATATCAAGGTAGGCAAATTTTATTAAATGACAAGTGGGATTTTTATTTTATTTGTTTGAATGTAAATTGTGATTTATTTATTATAATAGTAAAATTTATGATCATAAATGAATTACATGATTATTATTTTATGCTAGCATTAAGCACAACTGCTGAGCTGTTGTACTATTAGCTAAGCAATTTTCATGTATGATTTTTATTGTAATTGACAAAATTAAATCTTTAATAATATACTACGTGCCCATCTTCGATATAATTAATCAATCCTGCCATTTATTAAAGTTTTTTAATTCTATATCTAAAGTTTTTTATATATTTCGCCTTAATTCGGTTCAATGTCAGATGTTATTAAATGATCCCAAAAAATAGGACGAAGATATGACTTGTAACCAAACCAAATATAATTTATTTTTCTCCCGACATTTTAATGAAAGAAAAAATTCAATTGTTCTGTTAAATATAAAAGATCTTTCGCGTTCTCCTACCAATTTCTCTTAACATAAATAGTGTATTTCAACGCTCAATAATAAATAAAATATGATAACCAAATACGGAATAAAAATTCTTTGTAATTTTGCATTTCAAATGTCATGAGTATAGTATTGAAAGAATGAGAGCGGATGGTAGTAACAGTATTGACGATTGACGGTATTATACAATTGCAATAAAAATTAAAGAAAAAAAAAAAAATAAATGTAGTTCCTAAACTAGTTTAAGTGTCCTAATTAGTAATATAACAAATCATAGAAAAATGTTTCCAACGTCATTAATTGATGAAATCTTTTCATATTCCAAAATACACCTATAATGAAAATAAAAGAAGAGTTATATAATAAATTATTATAAATGAAATAAATTAAAAGTAATTCTAAGCATTATAACAAACCCATAATTTTCATCGGCATTTGCTATGTATAAACCATCCGTATCAGGAGTAAATGTTACACCAGCAATTTCGCCAAACAAATCGATCACTTGAGACCGTTCAAATGTATGTGCGTCGAATATGTGAACGAAATCGGCAGGTTCTGGGAAAATTCAAAAGTCAAAAAAAATCTTTTCTATTTTATATAAAATTTAATTACTATATCAACTAACCTGCCATTGCTAAATAACGTCCGTCTTCAGAAAAATGAAGTGACCTCACAGCTCCAATCTTGGCACCCAATACATCAAACGCCTTAGACATATTTCTTATATCATATAGCCTATAAATGATAGATATCATTTTTAGCGTTCCAACCAAAAGAAATTTGCCATCAAATTTTCGGGTTGTAATCCTACCTGGTTGTTTTATCTTATATTATCCACAAGAGTTTACAAGTCATTTACCATTACAAATGTGAAAGATAATAAATTGCAATATCAATCACGTACCTTGATTCCCTGTCGCAATTATCTTTCCATCAGGACTCCAGCAGCAAGCAAAAGAATAATCAAAATGTCCTTTCAAAGTTGTTATAGCTACAAAAGGAAAGTTAATTCATGGACTAAAAATATAGAGAAGAAAATATATTAAATTAGACAAACATACTCTTTCCAGTATCTGAGCTTACAACTACAGCGTCCGTGTTATCCCCAACAACACATAATAAATCTTTGTTCGGATTAACCGAAGTGCACTATGAATAAATAAAGAAGGTAAGTATAAATAATAAATAAAAATTATATAGTTATAATTAGAAGCATACATTAACTGCCCATTCAAAATCATAAGTCTCAATAAATCTTGTTGTCGCAAGATCCATAATTCTGGATTTTTTATCATTGCTAGATATCACTGATACAATACCTATTTAATGCAAAAATATATAAATATACACATTTACATAACTTCCTTTTTGAAAGATTATTTAAATAACAAACTAACTTCCAGTTCTCGATTCGATAATATCCATATGATTTGTTATTCCATTTGTATCAGTAGTTATAGTGCCAAATTGAACTGGTTCTGCATCAAGACGTCTGCATGCATATTCACCATATAATCCTATGTAATAGTTGTGAGATATTTCGCAAAACTGTAACGTGCAAATCATTAAATTTTAATAAACTTTGACATCATACCACCAACAAGCAGATAATTGTACTTGCAAGCAATTGTGCTAATTTCAAACGGTGTTTCGGCACTACGATTGTTATAGCTCAAATCCAATGCAACTTTTGATTTTTTCATTACTGAATTCCAATGTCCAATACGAGGAGAATCTATAAAGGGAATAATAGGCCGGTTAATAGCTTGATACTACACAACAAAGTCCTTTTTTCGATAAAAAATACTCACGTGTGTAGAATACATCATTTCTTCCAGTTGCCCATAACAAATTTCGTAACTGAAAATGGACAATAAAGCATCTATGTGGCAAAGTGGTATACTTGAACTTATAGAATTGTGCATCTGTTCGAACCGATTTAATTTCCTAAAAAAATCGCGTAATTTAAACAAACCGATCTAAATTTCTAACATAAGTTGTAAATATGTAAAATATTCAAACCTTTTTCAAATCATCATGCGGTCTCTGAACGTTTTCATAGTTCTTATAATCTATGAGACTAAGAAAAAAAAATGTAATCGATATTAATTTTAATAATTATTTCATTTAAAAATTTTAGTATAGCAAACAAAAAAAAAAAAAGACGAACCGAAGTTCGCGATATCTTTGACGTGTTACATTAAAGGCGTCCCATGTAATTCCTTGCTATAGTAAATCATTCTTTAGCAATTGCATGTTACTTAAAAATTGATAACGAAAATCAATAAGATATTGTACCACATCCATCCCATTTTCTGCGTCTTGGGCAGTGACCTCACGGAGCTAAAAAGATATTTCAATATAAGCATACATTATAAAGAAAGATAAATCGACAAATTTGTATACTTACCCAATACCAAGAACGTTTTCTTTCCGAAGAACTGTTTTCTGTACCTATTATTTTATAAACATTTATTACCAAGGAGAGTATAAGAGAAGACGAGAACAAAACAAGCGGTTCAATTTGTTCAAATTAACATACAAGGCCACTCAAGATCTAAATTATGCATGTCTTCATTTATGGTAACGTCATCAACATCCACAAGATCAGACATTGTGAGTAAGGCTTATTAAAAAAATATATTGATTTTCTTTCGATTCAAATTGAAACCGTAAGATACCAGGTACTTTGTTGGTGCAAATAAAAAAACAAAATATATGCGTGATATAGACATATAGTGATTCGGTGGTAAACAACTATTCCGCAGTGAGGAAAGTTTCGCGATCACGTGATACATTTCAATGAACTTCCCTTCGTTATTTCCGTTTTTAATTAAATATAAATTATTGAAATTCTTCCTCAAGCAAAATACACACCTATTCTTTTTTATTTAAAATTATTAATTTATGATAATAAAAAAAAATAAAAATAAAAATAATTAATATTATTTTCTTATTAAAGTAAAAATATAAGAGTTTAATAAAATATAAATTATTTTCTTTTTTGAAACATAAAATATAAATTTTTAGGTGAGTAATTTAATTCAGATTATTTAACCTAGAGGGTAAATTAGCAAACTTATCCTACAGTGAAATAGCTGATTAATTGTCTGAAGTACTTGATTTGCATTTATATCAAAAAGTCCAGTTTACCATATTATAAACTTTATTTTTATAATATCAGAAAGATTAATTAGAATAAAACTGCAAGTAAAAAATCCAGTTTATGCTAAGCAGACAATTTGTACTAATATCATATTGCTATAAGAATATTCTTATTAAACAAAAAATTCCAGTCATTGAATAAAGAGTTCATTATTAAAGACTAAAAGTTCCAGCTTGTACATATATCAGGTACAGTTAAATAATAAATTATCTGATTGCACTATTACATATTTAAGCTTAGAATATACATATGATACATTCCATATAAAATCTATATCAACATTTTTAAATTTCATTTAAGAATAATTTTCACTTTAATGGCCTTTTATTATATTACCAAAATCAAAAACTGGATGTGTATTAATTTAGTAAAGTATTATTATAAAAAAATGGAAAAAAAAACTGAAAGAAATATTAAATTAAATTTTATAAGAATAACAAATTCTGATTCTAAACTTATAATTCACAGATCGAAAAGTGAAAAATCAGGCATCAATCAGTCACCAATCGGTCACCAATCAGGTAGCTGATTGGTGACTGATTGGCATTTTCGCCAAATACCGTTACCAATCAGGCAATTTGCTAACTTTTGATCCAGTGATTAGAAAAGGATGAAATATAGCTCATTGGAATCATCTCAACAAGACGAATCTAATGGTAGTAAAATCACATTTTTAGAATTAATATTTGATGAGAAATTAAGTAAAATATAAAAATAAAAATATATTTTAATAGTAATATTTATAAATATTTATTAATAAAATTAATATAATTTATTATTTTAACTTTGAAAAAAGAAATTTGGTATAAATCAAAACATGTAGGATTCAGAAGATTAAATTCATTTTTAAATGAAATTTGCAAAATTACTGGTACAGTGACACCTCTATAAGTGCACCCTCTATAAGTGCACGCACTATATAAATTCTCTTTAAGTGCAAGGTGGAACTGATCCCAACTTATAAGAGCTCTTAATATTTTACTCTCTATAAATGCACACCCTCTCTAAGTGCACATTCTACTATTTTTTTACTATGGTCCCAAGGGAGGTGCACTTAGAGAGGTGTCACTGTATTAACTTTAGTGGAAGGAAAATCACTAACCATTCTGGACGATGTGCACTTATTTAAAATTGTGAAAAAATGGGCATTTCTAAAGAAGAAATAAAATTACTTTCTCAACACCGCTCTAATACTGGATTATTATCATACATCTTACTTTCTGATGATAAAAAAAATAAGATTATTGGAAAATTTATGGATAAAATTAAATTTATAGAAAATCAACTTTAGGTATATAGAATTTATTCAATTATCATAATTACTTAATGTTTTAACTAAATATACTAAATATCTAATTTTTATTTATTAGATAAGGCAAAAATACCAGATATATTAAATGGTCAAGATTCATATAATGAACAAGTAATTGGAAAAAAAAACAATAATATTAAAATTGCAAAAGAAGGTAGTATTTTATTTATTAATATGTTTTATTTTGTAACTTATTAATTTGTCTAATTTATTTTTTTAGTATTTTACGAAAATCAACAAAATTCTCTAAAAAAGCCATTTTAGAAATTTCAATGAATATTGATTAATTTAAAAAGTTATTTAATTGCGGTTTAATTTCCAAGCTTAAAGGAAAGGTTAATTTATTATAGCAAATTTATTATAAATTAAAATAGTATCTATATTTGCAGTATAATATTTAGTACATGATATTTAGTTAAAGCTCTAAATGGTCCAGATTGGTCCAGGTTGGAGAGTAACCTGAGACTGAACCGAAAAATTAATTCATTTTGGTCTGGTCCAGTTTATATTAAAAGGAGAATCTAGGACCAGACCGTACCAGTTAGTATTTTAATCTGATCCAGTCCAGTCCTATAATAAAAAAACATTGCAAAACCGTTTTTTTAATTATAATTACTTAGAAAAAATGTTTCGCAACATTTTTTTGTTAAGTTAATTAAAAAAATGTTACACATACATTTTTTTAATTAAATATGCTTAGAAAAAATATTTTGCAACATTTTTTCTTTAAATTAATTAAAAAACATTGCGCAAACATTTTTTTTAATTAAATATGCTAAGAAAAAACATTTTGCAATGTTTTTTCTTTAAATTAATTAAAAAACATTGCGCAAACATATTTTTTAATCAAATATGCTAAGAAAAAATATTTTATAACGTTTTTTTTTTTAAATTAATTAAAAAAACATTGCGCAAACATATTTTTTATAATAATATGTTTAAAAAATATTATGCAACATTTTTTTTATTTAATAATTAAATAATCGCAACAGTTTTAATATAAACTATTGTTGGTCTGGTCTGGTTCCAACCTATTTAATTCAGTCTGGGTTAAATTTATAATCTAAAACTGGACCAAACTGGACCAAATATTATGGTCTGGGTTGAAGCATCAACCCAGACTAAACCAATCCAAATTTTCAGTCCAGGTTGTCAGATTAGAACTGATCCAATTAGAGCTTTATATTTAGTACATGATATTTATGATATTTAGTATAATATTTAATATGATATTTAGTTTGATATTTAGTTTGATATTTAGTACATAGTATTTAGTATTTGAAAAAATATCAATAATAATTAGGGCAGTGAAGATATTACCTAATATTCTAGGAGGAGGGGAGTAATTGAAAATCCTAGGTTACATATATACTATATAAGATATCTTACCTGGGGGAGAGGTGGTAAACTCTTATAATAAACTGATATTAGGTAATATCTGTCATTGTCCTTATGCTATCATAGTTTATTTATAGCTTAATAAAAAAATATCAGCACGATGAAAAAAGCATGATCCTTAGAGATTCTGGGCGAAACTGAAATATTTAGTCATTTGACTAAACTGAAATAGTTTAGACATTTAAAATTAAATGACAAAATGCCGAAATTTAATATTCCATAGTATTTTCATAAATTTTTTATAGATTTCCATGGATTTTCAATTATAATAATTACTTATAAAAAAAAAAAAATAATAAATTCATATTAAAATATAATATTTTTTAAAGGAATTTATAAAACTATTATATGTATTATGTGCATATGGGCTGATTTGTCTACTTCTAATTAAAATATTAATTTTATTACATTTTTATTATACAAAATACTATATAATATACAGTAAATTGGGAATGAGTATTAAAAAATTTTTATTTAATGTTATTATACTATAATTTGGTAAATATTTCTTTTAAATTAATATAATTCTTAGCATTTACTATATATATTAAAAATTTGTATTTCAACTTTAAACGTAAATATCTCCAGATCTAATGATCCAATCGGCAAGCTTTTTTTTGTTCATATAGACCAGATCAAGGGCTTTCCAACGAGCCTAAAATTATAGAAAACGGATCAGTGAATCTTGATATATTTGCATTTAAAGATGGTAATACAAACTCTGATATAAAATAATTATTTTTATTGTTTGAAAATATCTATTATGATACCATCTTTTATATGATATTTTTATTATACTTTTATAAACATTTATAGCTACTAAATTTTTATTTTAGTTTATATTTTATTAAAATATACTTATTTTTAATAATATATGTTAAAAATTCCATATATATAAGAAATGGATTTTTTATTAGTGAAATGGGTTTTTTCACAGTTCTTTTACATTTAATAATTTTAAAAGTTTCGCAAATGTAAATTTTTGTTCAACTTATTATTTAGTCAAGTGATCATCAATCAGATGATTTTTTAGTATTACAAAACAATTTTGAGTAACAAAAATTGTGAAAATCAATCAATAACTCTCTTTAATACAGAGTAAACAAATCAGCTTATATATATTCCTAAACAGACAGGTGTACTAGGTGAGGTATGGGGAACAACTCCCCACTAGGCGAGTACTGGGTGGCAGCTTGGGTGGTAGGGCACCACTGGGAATAATCCCAAACAAGTGAGTCTATACTATTTCATGTTCTTTCTGTCTCAGTGATCACTACTATACCATTGGGAAATTCACAACTGTACCTTGAGGCTAAGGAATCATGGGGCTGTAGTGGCCTTAAATGAGCCTTAGTTCAGTTCTAAAGTGTGAATGTTAGTACAGAAGGGTTTCTAGATGATTGCCATTACATCTGACACCAAAAGTCATCCATTACTAAGACATGCCAGGGTGGCATATAAATTCAAGCTTGTCTTGCCTCTAGAATGGATAAAGGATGAGTAGGAAGTTATAGCTAGCCAGTTAGTATTCCGTTAATGAATAGGAACTATCCTGAGGTCAAACTAAAATGGCAGTTATAGTGATATTTGTTCAGGTTACACATACCAATTGGTTGGTATACGTTGGTCAACTAATTGTACTTATGGATTACCAAGCTATAAATAGGTTCTTAAATGTGAACCTTTACCTTAAGTCAAATACAAAAACAAATTAGCTCATATGCTATAATATAATTTCATATATTTTTATAATAAAACTATAATTTTATATAATTAAAATTTAAACTTAAAAATTATTATATAGTTCAGTCAATGACAAAACTGAAATTTTTGGTAAAAAGAGTTTAGCCAGGTATCACTAATGATCCTATAAGATGATATAAAATATATGATAACTTAATATTTAAATAAAAACTTTTCTGATATTCTAAAAATTATTGCAAATTTTAAAATCATATAATGACTAAACAAAAGCACAGATATAATAATCACTAGAAGAAAAATCTTCTACAATTAAAGATTTTGAAGAAAAGTATTATAATGATTTTTATATAATTGAAAGTAATTATTAAAATATAAATACTACTTTTATTAAAATAGGTTAACTATTATTAACTTAAATTCAAATTATTTTTTAATAAATAAGAAAAATGTTTAATAAATTAAAAGTAACTGTTAAATCTGCACTTTTATCATATATTAATCTTAAATTGTTAGTTATATTATCTTTTAATTAAAATTATTAATCTGAAAGTTCCAGTAATATTGCAATAATATATATAAGCCTATTAAAAGTGATTTTTATAGCTATTTTTTAGATTGTTTGTATTCAGCACTAAAAAGTCCTAGTATTAGCATTTTTGTAAAAAGACTTTTAGTATATACTGCATATCTGCTTATAGAAAGTTTACTATACTAAATGTTTAAAAAAGCTGTTTTTTCACTTCTTTTGCAACTTTCACAATAAAATATTTTTTAGCTACTTTAACCAATAACATATTTAGGTTGTTTTTTATATTGTATGTAAAGCTCTTTAGTAATAGTATTGTTTTTAGGTCTGTATTAACTTTTCCTATATACTTTCATTAAAAAATGTCTTCAGTTTTTTATGTAAAATTCTGAAAATAGGATTTACAAAGAAGAATTTATTTATTTATTATAGATTTAATAATGTATTTATTAACCTTTATTTATTTATCTATTACTTATTATATATATTATTACATTAAATTAATAAAATATAGAAATTTTAATTATAAAGAAAAGTCTAAATAAAAAAATTAAAAAAATGTAAATATAAAGTTTAAAGGCAGAATTTACAAATAAAAAAAATTAAGGAAAAAATATTTTTATGCAGGTGCATAGTAATGCATCACCCTTTTTAGTAATTTTTTTATAGTAAATATATCAATTATTTCTTATCACGTAACATCATTAAATGTTCTGTTTTTTGAATAAATGTTATATAAAATATTATAAAGTTTTTGAAAAAGGGTTTAAAATTTAAACACACTTATATTTGAACGTACCCCTATGGTATAAGTTAAAAATGAAGTTTTAAACCCTTTTTGTTATAGTAAGTAAAGTTGTAGAGGAGGCAAAAATATGTATATAACATGAGTTTATTTATAAGTATATAAGATATAAATTGCGTTTATTCAAAAAAATCAGAAATTCGCCAGTATCACGTGATAAAATGATCGGCATTTTTATTATATAAAAATTTTCAAAAAAGGGAGGTGCTTTCAAAACGCAGGTGTGTTCAAATTTTAATCCTTTGAAAAATATAAATTATGTGTATTTTTGCTTGCTCTACAACTTTACTTAAAGACCAAAGTATAATTTAGAATGGTGTTTTTGACTTTTATATATGAGATATTATAAAGAATGTATTGTAACATATTTGTGTATAAAATTTAAACCCAAAAATTAAAAATATTAGTAAATATAATAATTAAAAAAATAAAAATAATAAGTTTTGCAATAAAATTTACTATTTTTAAATTTTTAATTTTCTTATCAATACTCAAATAAAAATGTAAAATTTTAATAAAATAGTTGTCTTTCTTTTTTTTGGCTGCAGTATATTTGGAACTTTATTAGAAGAGATAACAATAAGTTTAAAACTTCAGACTAGGAAAGTAAGTGCTCTTTAGAAAAAGTCTTTTTTTAAAGAAAACCTTCTCCTTCCAGTCTACATTTTGTAAATGTTTAAAAAGACTCACTGTAACTGCAATATAAAACCCAGAATTAAAACTACAAAAAAAGAAGTAACAAAACAAAGACTAGGGTAAAAATTACATATAAAAAAGATTAATAAAATGATTTGAATATGAAGTAACTAATATTCTGAAAAGGTTAAATCA